TTTAAGTTTCTCGTCAGTTGATAGTGTTGCGTCGAAATACTCTATTATTATCCGTTACTGATGTGTCAGCTCCTAGTACGGAAGTCTACATGATGTCCAGGGATTATCTTGATGTTATTTTGGTTGATAGTGACAAGCAATTCAATCCAGAATGTGCACACTTCTACCAAGTTTAGAACTCGTCAGCTGGATACGATTTACGGGTTGGAGTTGCTAGCCTTATGCCCAACCTCCCACTTTTTACTGGTCTTAATACCCATCTGGAGAGGCAAAGGATTGCGTCGGTGGCCGGAGATTGAACCCCGGACAGCAAGTGTGATTGGTAGACATCCGACTGCTGCGCCACCGGCCCAATTATTCTGACAACCAATCAAGAATTCGCTCAGTTATTCTTGGAATTAATTAGAGCAAACAATGCTTTCGAAGTGAAGAAGTCTGTGAGATTGGTTTCTTGAAGCAGGCTGTGTTAATTGATATCACTTGGAGAACTATTGAAAACCAACAATGAGTACTGGACAGCTTTTCCATCGTAGTTTGCAATTCATTGACAGTACGCACCGACTGCTAGGGTTCGAACCGAGGATGGTTCTCTTACTAATAACAATCCATGATCAAACCGGAAACAAATCAAATACCTTTAAAAATAATTGATTACGCAATTTATTGTCTTCAAAAACTACTTTTGAGTCACGCATCCCCCTATTACTCAATAATAGACCACATACCTATTTTTTAGTAAATATGAATACAGCTAGTTGTACAGTGACTTTGAAGATGACTTTATCAATAAAAAGAATTTTCCAGGACAAACCAATACTTGAAAATTAATGAGATGCTCATTGGCGACCGTTCCAATTCAGGTAGGTAGTTATCTGGTATTCTTGTGGGAAGTCGTGGCCAGTAGGGTGCGGCACGTCGGGTGTGAGGACAAATACTCGCCGAAGACATTGGCTAGGGGTAGCGCTATGTCGTGAATTGGCAGAAGTTAGAAATCATGGACTGGCCATTGGATCGGGTCCCAGTGACTTAATGGTATACGAGCTAGCTCGCTGGGCTTGTAACCAGAAGGTCCTGTGTTCAAACCCGTGTGGTTGGTGCGTACTGATGAAGAGTCCCAAAGTCGGACAGAGGAAACAGCCTTCCAGTACTCCCAGGTTTTCCAGTGGTTCTCTAACCAACGTCAGCTCATGATGAAATCCTGTAAGAAAGAGAATTTTCTTTGCTTGATTGTCTTTGCCGATATTTCCTGAGATTATTTCTTAATGCACTTAGTAGGAGTGTTCATTCACATTAGGCATGATTGTCTAAAATTTCACTATACCTTAATTTAGCAAAAATGAACTAAATACCAACCAATAGTATATATTTACTATTTATGCATGATGAACAATTAACTCACATACAGGATGGCTTTCATTTGTTCATGTCAATCATCTCTCTATTATGCTTATTTTTCTTAATTGGTATTTACAATATCAAGTGGGTTACATAATGTTACCAGAATATTTTACTATTTCCATTGGAAACCATGTTGAAGTGTTTTTCAAGTATTGGTTTTATAGGCGATTTTGTTTGATTGGATGGAGGATTTCATCATGAGCTGACATCAGTTAGAGAAAAACCACTGGAAAAGCTGGGAATACTGGACAGCTATTTCGTTCTAGTTTGGAGCTGCTCACAATGCCCATCTACCACCAGGGTTCGAACCCACGACCGTCTAGTTACAAGGCAAGCTAGCTCATAGACCATTACGTTACTGGGACTCTATCCAACGGCAAGTTCATAAATTCTAACTCCTACCAATTCACGACATAACATAACCACTTCGCAATGTCTTCTTCGGCGAGTAACTGCTCCTACCTTCGACCTTCTTTACCCTACTGGTCAAGACTTCCCACTAGAACACCAGGCAACTACCTACCTACCTACCTGAAAAGGACTAGTCGCTAGTGAGCATTAGAATTTGACTTATATGTTAGCAACTAACATCAAATAGGTGAACTAGAGTGTCGATTCAAGTCATTGGCTTCGGTGATCAACCTTAAGCTAATAGATTTTGGCGTTTGAATTCCAATCTATCGACCTTAACTTGAGAAACTAGTTAATATAACTGGCCACTCTCAGACGTATGGCTTCGTATATTAAAAATTTGATGCAGATATCTGATTGCTAACAAGAAACACCAGAAACAGATCAGCAACAGGAATCTCTGGCAGTGAGCGAACCAACCAGGAGCCTATTGTGCAACAAATAAGCAGGAAGAAATGGAGTTGGGCGGGCCATAATCTGAGGAAAAAAGATCAAGTGACATCACTAGACAAGCCATCGCTTGAGTGGAACCCGAAAGGGAAGTGGTGAGCTGGTCATCAGTGAGAGAATGGCATGGAGGAGGTCATGTGAAGAGGAGATGAAAGCATGTGGGCAGACTTGCAGTCAGGTGAAAACTCTAGCAGAGAACCGAACGCAATGGAGACGTGCGGCTGAAGCTCTATGTTACTCTAGGAATTAAAGGAAATAGTAATATTAATAAATAATAACAAGAAACATACAATTCTCCTAAAATATGTCAGGTAAATGAACAGAATCTGAGCTTTATTTTCTGTTGCTGTTTTTTTACAGCTGCTTTCTCAGTTTCTGAGAACTCCGATTACACAGTAATAAACACCTGTCTCAGTTTTCTTGTCCTACCTTCAACGTCCTGATCCTTGAAGCTTGTAGCTCAAGCCGTACTGATAAGGACAGTGAAAGAAGTAACTTCCATCACATTTTCCCCATTGATGGTGGCTGATGCCTGTTACTGTCGTCTATCTTCTTGATGTTTATCTGAAATCCTGTCTTCAGACTTCTGAGGCATCAATCATAGATGGAGTACATATCTTCTAGGGTCCTTTCTTAAGTCCACCGTGTACCCATCCTCTCACTCTCCTCCACTACAGCGAGGAAGACCATCGGTAATAGTAGGAAGTCTTGTTGTGAATCAATTGGCATCATATATCTTCTGAATAAGGTTGTTTAAGGTTTAGGGCACTCCATAGGGCTAAAACAGTTCCAAAATTATCCCACGGTCAATCCTATCAAAGACTTTTCAGAGTCGATGAAGCTGAGATCGATAGTAATTCTTTGCTCATTTTGACAATGATACTTTAACACTATCAATTTGTTTTTGATGTAGTTGTGTTCTCTGAGCTGGATAGTTAATTTGCGAAGCTTTCATTACCCTCCCTACTGGGCGACATCTTCAGCCACAACTTCAATTTATTGAAGTGAGCTTTTAGATTTCTCCACGAGTTTGTTAATCATCCCTCCTGGTGGTGACCACCTTGGAAGTGATCGGTTGTTATATCTCATGGATGTCTTCTAAAAGAATGGATATCTACGGAATTTCATCAAAAAACGTATACCCCAAGCCAACCTATCAAACCAATAGCCCCAAGGAAAGCACAAAGAAAATCGCCTTATCATATATAAAGGATATCTCATTAATCACTGCAAAACTTTTCAAACACCTTTAGGAATTGACGTCGTACACAAAACAACAAAATCACTTCAAGTGTTGGTTTGCAGGGATTTGATTGGTTACAGGATTTTCATCATGAGCTGAAATTAGTTAGAGAACCATTAGAAAACCTGGGAGTACTGGAATATTAATGAGGTGCTCACTGGTGACTGGCCCTATTCAGGTAGGTAGTTATCTGGTATTCTTGTGGGAAGTCGTGACCAGTAGGGTGCGGCACGTCGGGTGTGAGGACAAATACTCGTCGAAGACATTGGCTAGGGGTAGCGCTATGTCGTGAATTGGCAGAAGTTAGAAATCGGACTGGCCATTGGATCGGGTCCCAGTGACTTAATGGTCTACGAGCTAGCTCGCCTTATAACCAGAAGGTCCTGCGGTGGGTTTGTACCACCGAAGAGTCCTAAACTATGATGAAAACTCCGTCCAGTACTCCCAGTTGGTTTTCCAATGGTTCTCTAACTAATGTCAGGTCATGATGAAAATTCTAAAATCACTTCACTCAGTTCTATGTCAACCAAAAGACTCAACAGCAAAAGAAGATGAAACCAACATCATCTACAAAATAAATTGTAACAACTGAGAAAAGCACTACATTGGCCAAAGTGGACGTCCCCTTCGTCTTTGTATCCACGAACATAAGCTAGTCGCCAAAAGACACGACACCCACTCCCTCTTATCGCTACATACAGACAACCACGGACATCAATTCGACTTGGACAACCACTGTTCAAATATTCGATAGGGGAAACACCAAGAATGCTAGAGAATTTTTAGAAGGCTGCCTAATATTCCAGTGAATCATCAATCAATAGACACATCGAGATAGAGAAAATTTATCAACCTATAAGAAAGAAACCTCCCACACAGAGGGTCAAAGTTCAAGTAAAAAAAAACAATCAGTTCCAATTCAAGTAACCTAGAAGATGTGAAAAAACACAAAAACAACCTATCACGTCCAAGGCCATCAGGAGAGATGATTAATAAACTCGTAGAGAAATCGAAAAGCTCACTTCCTCGAATTGAAGTATTCGCCGAAGATGTCGCCTAGTAGGGCGATGGAAGCTTTGCAAATCAACTATCCAGCTCAGGGAACACAACCAAATCAGAATCATCCACCTGAGCTACAAATCTTCTCTATCGTAGTAGAGTGTTCACAACTTTATTTATTTTTTAACAAAGTGTGAAGCTGTTTACTGTACATTGTTATGTGCAGCTGGCCTCAGTAATTATTGTTCATTCCTTGAGTTCTATATAGAACACAACGCACCCCGTGGAGCATCTCCACTGCATCTGCTTATCCACCTTCACTTTCAGCTTGCTTTCCCACTACCCACGAACTTCCATCTTCTCTACTTCACATCATCTTCACCATGTTACACTTTAGGATGCCCCATATCCATCTACGGGATATTTCAAGCTCTATTTGTATATTTTGGCGCAGGTTTATTAACGTAATTAGAATAAGACAATAATTACCTAAACTTACCTAAATGTCCATTCGGCAATCTCTTCAGTGTAGATGGTTGTTCTAGACCAGATGGACTACGAACTGTTGCGACTAAATTATAAATATCTGTTTCTGTGATACGTAATGGCATTTCACTTGTTGTACCAACACAAACTTGATTGAATCGACGAGATTCACCTGTAAAAGTAAATAAATAATTATCAGTAGCAGTAGTATTTAGATTATAGTATTTTTTAGAAATTTGCTGAAGATACGTTTTTTCAAAGTAGAATGAACAGATTACTTATGGGTGTCAAAATAAGTAGTATTTTTTCTTGTGACAAAAATATTGTAAAATAGGAGACAATGGTGGTGATTAATCACAATAGATTTGTAGAGTGTAGTGAAGGGAAATCGACAAGCCAGTTCAAGGTTATGCAAGGTGTCAGGTGAGTGGCTAGTACAAAGTGGTCTGTGTTAAACAGGAGATAGTAAGACTGCAATGAGTGGTTCATAATGAAATAACGAATGTGTGAAATGAAACAGGTGGAAGCATATCTATTGAGAAAAGAGATAATATCACCAATAATAAGTCCGGAGAGTATAAATGGAAAATTCGATAGTGTTGAGAGAATGTTTGAATGAAGGGCATAAATTACGACGAATAATAATAACTGTAATAATAAGCAAAGAAAGAAAAAAACCAAGAGGATTAAGGGGAAGGAGCACTCTTGGTGAGGAAAAGAATCATCAATCCAAGTTTGGATACGGTAGGAACAGCGTCTGGACGTGTTCTCTTTTTTAGAAACAAAGTTCCAGTCTAGTCGATCTTATTGCAACAGCTTCAGCTATGTGTAGCAGACATGAGCGAACTGTACGTGATAACAACTTTGAAATTCGGTATATAACCCTGAAAGCTGTGTTGACATCGATGCTATGTCCAGTATCGACCAAGTGTGACAGGATCAAGCTTTTTATGCACTTAATTTCCCCTCTCTCCCCCTGCTGAACCAAGCTAGTAAATGTTCTCGGTCCCGTAGATGAACCTGCCTAATCATGCTCCCTATATAACTTGAACCACAGGAACAGTTGAAATGATATATGCATGAAGAAGACCTAAGGTTAGGTGAGACATCTTTGAGTTATTGGGTGAACATTGGACGGCTACTGAAAGATAGAGACAGACGTGCAGAGTAGAAAGTTTTCTTTTTCACCCTGGTTGAACGCTGCGATAAAATCTCCGCAGGAGTATTTCTCCTCTGAATTGTTGACTATCGATTGTCTACAGTTCGAAACATTTATATAAATAGTGGTGAATGCTCATGATTTGTGCTCACATTAAACTGTATTTATTCCCGTTATGAACTTTATATAATTGAATGACAACATCGAACACAGGGAGAGTAAACTGAATAAAAGGTTGCATGGGTGTATCAATGTGTAAGAGGGATTAACCAATTCTGTCACATCTGATAGATACAGGACATCGTGTTGACGCTAAGATAACCTTTGTAGTCTTTATTATTCACAGTTCACTTATATCTTCGACATATAGTGTTGAAACTGTTACGATCAGATCAATTAAACACTGAACTTTGTGTTCACAAAGAACATGTTCAGGAGTTGTTCCTATCGTGGACAATCTTGAGTTGCATATTTCTTTTCCCTTTCAAGGGTGTCGTCTCCTCTTATTTCTCTTCCTTTTTCTTATTCTGTTTGTCCTAACGATTTTAGTCACAATGATATACAAGGCATGTCTTCCATTCTGGCGTTCTTATTTTATTGCCGAATTTTCCATTTCAACTATTCTGATTTCAGTAGATTGAATATTCCAAAAATTTATTCAGAACAAAATAGTTAGAGCGAATAATCGTCGTTTCAATAAATCCATCTTCTTCAGGCTCTACATTTATAAATCCATTAATTTAATCTTAGCACACAATAGCCAGTCAGCCAGCCAGTAAAGGTAAATTAGAGTCATATGAGAAAGTGTATTGTGGAACAAGTATAAGTAAGATGGGATGGTACAATAGTCAGTTAGTTTTTAATATGATGCATGGTCAATGAGAACGTGGGACAAAATGAGATGAAGTAATTTAATTACTGTGTGTGTGTGTGTGTGTGTGTGAATATACATAAATGTAGTCAAAAAATACAGATTTCAAGAGTGAGTGTAATCAGGATGTGTGAGACAATATGAAAATAATCCAACGAATGGGGCGGTCTAGACATAAGTTCAAGGTTGATTGAATGAATGTAAAATAATAACGATGATATGGTGTAAAATTACAACTACTACTGGTGAATGATTGTCAAATAATGATAATAATGAATATAATGAAGTGGAATAAACAGGATTTTGTTAATACTATGACAACAGTACGCAACCACCGGGATTCGAACCAAGGACCTACTGGTTACAAGGCGAGCTCGTAGACCAATTGAGCCACTGGGACCCAATCCAATGGTCCTTGAATTCTAACTTCTGCCAGTTCACGACATAGTGCGACCACTTCGCAATGTCTTCTTCGATGAATTACTGCCTCATCTTTAACCTGCTGTACCCTACTGGTCACGACTTCCCACTAGAACCCCAGGTTAACGGCCTGAATACGGCCGGTCACTATTGATCATCAGATTGATTTTCAAGTATTGGTTTTGTAGGGATTTTGGGTTCGAATCCCTGTGGGTGCGTACTGCTGAAGAGTCCCAAACTAGGACGAAACAGCTGTCCAGTACTCCCAGGTTTTCCAGTGGTTCTCTAACTCATGTCAGCTCATGATTAAATCCTCCATGCAATCAAATACACAATACACGATTTAAACAAATCACATCATTATATTCATTATTATTATTATTTGACAATCATTCACCAATAGTAGTTGTAATTTTACACCATATCATCGTTATTATTTTACATTCATTCAATCAACCTTGAACTTATGTCTAGACCGCCCCATTCGTTGGATTATTTTCATATTGTCTCACACATCCTGATTACACTCACTCTTGAAATCTGTATTTTTTGACTACATTTATGTATATTCACAAACACACACACACACACGTAATTAAATTACTTCATCTCATTTTGTCCCATGTTCTCATTGATCATGCATCTTACTTATACTTGTTCCACAATATACTTACTGATATGATTCTAATTCGCCTTTATTGGCTGACTGGCTGGTTATTGTATGCTTAGATTGAACTAATGGAATTATAATTGTAGAGCCTGAAGAAGGAAGAATTTATTGATACCACAACTATTTTGTTCTATTCTGATTTGTCAATTTCCTCCCTAATTTATTTCATGATGAACTGAATTCACTGCGCATTATTTTTGACTAGCCACTCATTTGACACTTTTTACAACCATGAACTCATTTGTCAATTTTTCTTCACCCTAAGTACATTGCGTGAAACTATTATGACGAATCACCATCTTTATCCACTCACATTTCTCAATATATTCTAGCACCTTCTGTCAAACAAATGCTATTTATTCTGTCACCCTGTAACTAATTTGTTATTCAAGCATTGATTTGAAGGGATTTGATTGATTGGTTAAATGATTTGATCATGCGCTGACATCAGTTAGAGAACTATTGGAAAACCAACAGAAACTACTGGTCAGTACTGAACTCTGTTTCGTCCTAGTTGAAGACTCATCCATCACCAGGGTTCGAACCCATGACCTTCTGGTTACAACCCCAGCGAGATAGTTCATAAGCCATTGGGACCCGATCCAATTGCCAGTCCATGAAATAACACAACCGCTGGCCAATATTTTCTTCCGCGAGTAATTATCCTTACCTTCGACCTTCTTCACCCTACTGGTCACGACTTCCCACTAGAACTACTAAGCCAGTTGCTAATCTGTTATTCTACATGAAAATGCATCCAACCACATAAATGGTTTTCTGTTGTCATGATAAGTATATTTTACTTTATGGCTGTGAGTGCCTGCAGAGAATTTATTGAGAAGCATATTCTTCGTTCAGCCTGATTTTAAAGCAAAAAGGTAAATTAAGAAAGCAAAAGTTTTGTTTGTACAAGTAAGATAATAAATAAAGGATAGGAGTAGATCCGAACACTGAGGATGGAAAGTCATACCTAAATGGCATGAAGTAATGCAGTGCTTGAGAATCTTAGACTGTCCAGGGTGGCACAGTGGTTAGGACTCTCGCCGACCATGCACATGGTCCGGGGTTCGAGCCCACGCCGGCGCACACCTGATATCTATGGTCAGCCTGCAAAATTTGGGCTACCGATATCCATGCTGAAAATTCCATACTTGTACCAAAAATACAGTGTGGAATCAAGCTGTAAATCAAAATAAAATAAAAAAATAAAAAAAATAAATAAAATATAAGTAGTGTTTACTCTCAGAAGGTCCCGACTTCCTTAAGCAGACTGCTATGCCTTTTGTGGATTGGAGTATTCGGTACGTAGCACACCGAATAAAATACCTAAAGTTAGTATTTATATATTCTGTCACACCAGTGAATATGACTCACACCATGAAACTTATATTTTTGTTGATTATAAATATTTTTACGAGTTGATCACGGATTGATATCAGTCAGAGAACCATTGAAAACCAACAAGTAGTACTACCAGACAGCTGTTTCATCTCAGTTTTTGCGAATCATCTACAGTGCGCACCCACTATAGGAGTTTCGAACCCAGGACCTTCCGGTTACAAGGCAAGCTGGTTCGTATACCATTCACTCACTCGGACCCGACTCAATCCCCATTTCATGAATTATAACTTCTACCAACTCGTGATTTAGTGTGACCACCGACCGATATCATCAGTAGGAAATCTATCCTCACACTTTACTGGATGGATCTCACTGGTCACGACTTCTCACGAGAACTGACTCCAGGAAACTCCATCCTGTAGCAAGTCACTAGCGAGCATTATTACAAATATTGCAAACAACTCACTTAATTAGAATTTAATTGGTGGATGGTGACTGCAGTGGAATCCAGGATGCGCATTTCTCCTGTCTTATTTGGGACCCGTCATCTGGGTGTACCTGCATTCCCTAGTGAGTGATGATGTTCCCACTGAGGCTCGAACCCATTGCCTATAGTTTCAAACGCCAAAGTGTTATCCACTAGACCACTTAGGCCACGAAAGCCGTCTCTTGTGCAACGGGTCATATTAATTATTCAATTGAATTTTAGATTTTCCCATCGATTGATTGGACCGATGTGCACGGTCACTTTATTGTTTCTTTACTTATTTATTGGATATTCTTAATGAAACCCAAAACAGTTTCTGAGATAATACTGATTTGCGATTACTGGTGCTTTTGTATTCCAACTTTCATAGATTTATAACTGTAAAGTTAGAAAAGAGGAAATTGTTGAAACCACACTTGTCTGCTTGAATTAGTCTTGTTCTGAATATGTAGAGGAGGGATATTTAAATTATTTTTAGTGAAATGTCGTCGCCAATGGGGTGATCCATCTGGTCAGCAGTCAGGATGAATACTCACCAGCCATGACATTGGTTGTTGGAAGCGCTAAATTCACGAAATGGTAGAAGTTAGAATTCATAGACTGGTCACTGAGTGAAGTCCCACCGGCTGAATGAGCTACGAGCTTAACTTCTGACAGGATGGCCTTCGGTTCGAACCCCAGTAGTGGTGAGTGCATACTGTCAATGAGTTGCAAACTACGACGGAACAGCCGTCCAGTACTCCTTGCTGGTCTAGTCTAGTTTAGGAGATGTGAATTCTTAAACTTAGGTTTCGTGCTTGCTGATGCTGGTCAGTAAGACCAGTCTATAATCCGCACAGAACTCAGTTTCCCCAGAATTTCGAACCTACATTAGTTAGTACTGAAGTCAGAGACGTTACCAATGAGCTATCCATAGTTGAGTGCTAAAACTAAACGAATGTCTCTACGAAATTTCCGACTCTCTTCGTGTTTTCTCTGGATTTCTCCAGTGAAATGATGTCTGCAGTTTTCCATGTGGACAACTAGAAGCCTAGTACTCATTAAATCAATTTGAAATTAACAGATATGTAGATACCGACCAAACTTATAAATCTATAACAAAAATAACCCTTAAGACCGAAAACTCAAATATCAGGTCAATGAAAGGATCACCATCAGTGTAATTGAATCAATCACTGGGGAAGCCGCCAGGTGAGACAAGTATTTCATTTCCACAGAATTTCCAAAGCCCGATTCACATCAAAGATACAGCTAAAGATGTTATTCAGAAGGACAATAAAAGCTGTGTTATTAAGCCATCCAGTTCATGGAACACAATGAAATCGACTACGACTTCTATTAATAGTGACGACAGTCTAGTGTAAAAGATAATCAGGTCATTATGCAGTGTCATAGGTATAAAGCGCTATACTACTTACCTGCTATATGTGCAGTGAACGGGGAACCAGGTATATGATTCTCCATAAATTTAATCGATATTGTATATTCTCCCGGGACTAGTGGTAAATAACTTACACTACAAGTACCATTTTTATTGTCATCACATTGAATATCTGCTTTCGATGGTCCTTCCACAGAAAGTGATAGTCCACCTTAGAGGGGAAAAAGGAAAACAACCAAAAACAGAAGATTTCAGTAATAGACAACAAAAAAAGTTATGTAATTTTGTGTAAGTGTGTGTGTGTGTGAGTGCGTGCGTGGGACACATTTCACCAAATATGTAAAACTTGAAAAAAAAATTAAACACACGTTAATTCAAGGACTGAAGTCTTGATGTTTTTCTCTCCTACAGATTTGCTTTAAATAAAACTTGCATGATGTTATATACAAATTATTGATTGAGTGATTCATATGATTGGTTAAATTCCATTCATACCAACCAGTAGTAATTGCCAGCCAGTCAATCAGCCGGATCAAAGTGAGGATGAGCTCATCAGCCCGGTGTACTCACAGTTATACTCAACACAGACAGTTGAATTAGGCCGAAGTTTATTCCCACTGTTCGATCGCATAGTTGTGTGCAAATTAAGAAGCATAATTAACAGTTGTATCACAGACAAACGAAATATTTTTTTCAGAAAAGCCTCTTCTTGGTTTCAAAACTCTCAATTGCTGCTTTATAGTTTCCATTTTAACTTTACAACCAGCGTGAATAATGAGATCAATCTCCAACAATCAAGTCTCTAATTAATAGCAACTTCTGACAGACAAAATCCCTGATGTATTGACCGTATAACCTGTAAATCTTTCGACCGAAATTACAAGTATCAGGTAGATATAGATATATCAGATGGCATTTCGTTGATGATGACTAATAGTGAAATTCAGAGCGTGTGTCGAGTCCGTTTGGCGACTTCTCACTGAGTGATGGAGTTCTCTGACTCAGAGTAGAAAACAACAGTCATCTTTCCAAACATTCAAAAGTTATCCACTAGGCCAGTGATGAGTCATCTATAGTACGAATTGTTTATTATATTGTATTTCTTTACGTTCCCAGTGAAACATAGGGCTACTTCAAGCTAGTGGATTGAAGTTTCGATAGATTTGGTATTTGTTTTTACGGGATGGAGTTGCTAACCTCAAGCCCAAACTTCTCTCCTTACTAGTCTTATTACAATCTTAATGAGGTAAAAGAGTGAGTAGGTGGTCGGGGATTGAATCCCGAACCATATGAGGCGTGATTGGCGATCATTCTAACTCTGTGCCACCGGCGCATCCATCATTCTATCAGAGATCGAAATGAAAACAGTTAGCTGATTATTTGGTCCATTACAGATAAGATTTTATTTTGATAAAATCACACAGTGTAGTGTTATACAGTAATATTAATTGATGACCACGTTTCCAGCACAAACTATTGCCACTCATAATCACATCAGGTCAATTAATCGCACAACTTTTTCCTTCATTTATATACATGAGTGGAATTGACCAGATATTTGAATAAAAATCAGTATAGGATAATGTACATTCAGAAATAATAATATGAGTGTTATTCATCAAATGCAATCAGATCGGAAATAAGACGAGTACTTTTATAGTCAAAATAAGTAATTCACTTCAATGTGTGAATTGAATTGAAATAGAATTTTGAGATTATTTATTATCCTCCTCCGATTTGACTGACTGACTGATTGACTGACTGACTGGCGGTAATAATATCTTCCATGCATATCTCTGGTATTTGCATTGAGTCATTCCTGTTGGATGTTGTGTGTTGGGTGTAGACTCGATGAACCAGTCAGTATTCAGTAATCAACCTCTCTCCACCTGCATAGATTACTTCTTAGAATTTTTACCCTCTCCCAGCATGCTATTGTGTGGATGTGTGTTAATGCATGTAGTGCAATTGCTGAGCTTTTTTCTAAATTACTTATCTTCTCGGGTGGGTTCAACGATTCTTACCTTTTTAAGTGTTGGTTTGCAGGTATTTGGTTGGTTACAGGATTTCATCATGAGCTGACATTGGTTAGAGAACCATTGGTAAACCTGGGAGTACTGGACAACTGTTTAGTCCTAGTTTAGGACTCTTCATTAGTACACACTCACTGGGGACCATTAAGGTACAGCAGGTCGGGTGTGAGGACAAATACTCGCCGAAGACATTGGCTATGTCATGAATTGGTAGAAGTTAGAATTTATGGGCCATTGGATCAGGTCCCATGGCTTAATGGTATACGAGATCGCCGTGTAAACAGAAGGTCCTGGATTCAAACCGGTGTGGTTGGTGCGTACTGATGAAGAGTCCCAAACCACGACAGAGAAACAGCTGTCCAGTACTCCCAGGTTTTCCACTGGTTCTCTAACCAACGTCAGTTCATGATGAAATCCTGTAACCATCCTTACCTTAGCCCGATTCTTATATTCCGACAATCTGATTACCCCCGATCTACTAGTTTGACCTCAGAGACAAGCTCTGTAGACTAAAAGACCCGGTGGACCCAAATAAAAAATAAAATAATTTGCAAAATACTTTGCAATGACTGTGAGCGAGGTCAACTAAGTAGATCAAACTAGTAGGCTGTAGGTAGTCAGATTGTTGGAACATAAGAATTTAGCTAAGGTAAGAATGGTCGACCCCGCGAAGACAGGAAATTTAGGAAATAAACTCAGCGATTTTACTGCATGCATTAACACACAACCACACAATAGCATGCTGGAGAAGGTTAAAAGTCTAAGAAGTAATAAAGGGAGGTGGGAGGTGAATCCTGACTGGTTCATCCAGTCTACACCCAACACATACCAGAAATATGGAAGATATTATTACCACCAGTCAGTCAAATCAGTGGAGGATAATAAATAATCTTAAAATTCTATTTCAGTTCACATACATTAATTATAACATTCTAACAAGTTACTTATTATGACTATGAAAAAGACTCATCTTATTTCCCATTTGATTGTAATTGATCAGTAACACTCATGATGTGTGATGTCACACACAATCGAAGACTTACAAGCGAAAACCGACAAACTGGTCGAAGAAGCAGCAAAGACAGGACTGCAGGTAAACATAGACAAGACGGAGGTTATGAAAATAACCAACCAACAACAGCAACAACATCCAACGTCAATCAACATCAACGGGAGGGATTTGAAAGAGGTCACTTCATTCACTTATCTAGGGAGCATTGTCTCAACTACAGGAGGAGCGGACGAGGATGTCAAATCGAGCGAGGATCGGGAAGGCGAGAAACACATTCATCAATCTGAAATCAATCTGGAAATCTTCATCACTCAGTATCAACAAGAAAATTCGGATTTTCAATGCAAACGTAAAATCAGTTCTTCTATACGGATCGGAAACTTTGAGGGTCACAAAGAATATTTCCGAAAGGTTGCAGTCCTTTATTAACAACTATCTTCGCTCTATACTGAAGATCAGATGACCGGAAAGAATCACCAACAAAGAACTATGGGAACAAACAAACAAAGCAAGAACCAATCGCCCAACAAATATGCAGGAGAAAGTGGAGACGGATCGGACACTCGCTGAGGAGACCGCTGGGTGACATCGCGCGCCAAGCCCTCGAGTGGAACCCGAAAGGGAAGCGGCGCGTGGGACGTCCAAGAGTGACATGGAGGAGATCGAGTGAAGAGGAGTTGAAAGAATATGGATTAACATGGATGCAGGTGAAAAGTACAGCAGGAGGAAGACAGAAGAAAATGGAGACGTGCAGTTGAAGCCCTATGTTCCACTAGGAACCCAAGGGAGCAATAATAATAATAATAAGTAACACTCATATTCTTATTCTGAATGTACATTATCCTATAGTGATTTTTATTCACATGTCTAATCATCAATTCCACACATGTTTGTAAATGAAGTAAGAAGTTGTATGAGTCACTTGATATGATTATGAGCAGGGATAATTTGTGCTCGACGGGTGGTCATCAGTTAATATTACTGTATAAGGGCACTGTGTGACTTATCAAAATAAAAATCTTATGCATAATGGAGTTATAGTCTACCACTGTGCCGAAGTTTTATACTTATATAAATGATTATTTGGTCACTGGTTCGATATTCAATTTTCGCGTGAATTTTTGCTTCTGATATAAAGCTACCATCGATCGATACCATCAATAAACATCTGAATAACTCCAGTTTCCAAAGGAGGAGGTCTCACCTCATGAATTAATTTGCAAAATTAATAATTTTTCCTTTTTTTCGTTCCTTCACGTCCCCAGTGGAACATAGGGTGTCAAGCTAGTGGTTTGAAGTTTCTGTAGCAGTGGTGTTTATTTTTACAGGATGAGGTTGCTAGCCTCATGCCCAACCTTTTCTCTTTACCGGCATTATTTCTGGTTTAGCGAGGTAAATGAATGCGTATGTGGCCGGGAATCGGACCCCGGACCATGTGCATGGTCGGTGAGCGTCTTAACCGCTGGGTCAACGACGCACATAATAATTTGACTTTTGATCCCTAAATATTCTAAACGTGACACGCATCTCTAAAGTGTTATAAAATTTAAGGTAAAAAAAAATAGACTTCATCTGCACTTCTTCACAACAAAAAACAAACAGTTCGAGGGGAATGATGACAGAAATCAAAACTGAACACGGATGTTTGTGCTTGAAACAATAGAAGTGATCATGACAGTGCCCAAAAATAACCACAACACCAAGAGCATAGTAATGTCAGAGGTGCTTCTGTGACAAAAACAGAAAAGCCATCCACCAATCATAACGCTTACACACACAACACTAACTATCATCTAAAGGTTTAGGTGTTCCTTTATAGAATGGTGGATGTAAGTATATATCCAATCGAAATTCAGTGATATACGGGAATGAGCCGATCAGTATTGCAGTTTCACTGTGATCTACAATAAAAAATAGATCTTTGAATGTAATTTTATTAAAACTTAATCATTGAAAAGAAAGAAATATATTGTGTTGATCACGGATTGATATCAGTTAGAGAACCATTGAAAACCAGTATTGGAGTACTGCCAGACAGCTGTTTCAGCAGCCTTGTTTGGGAATCATCGACAGTACGCACCCACCATAGGCGGTTCGAACCCAGGAGCTTCCGGTTACAAGGAAAGCTGGCTCGTATACCATTCAGCCACTGGGGCCTGATTCTTCAATGGCTAGTCAGTCCATGAATTCTAACTTCTACCAATTCATGATGCATTTAGCTCGACCCCAACCATTGTCGTCGGTGGGACATCCATCCACACACGTGACATCTGGATGGACCTCACTGGTCACAACTTCTCACTAGACCTGACTGCAGAAAACTCCATCCTGTAGCAAGTCACTAGCGAGCAGCATCAGACTAATTTTGTATATAGTTTGGTTTGTAAGGGTTAGTTTTGTTTTTACAACTTCATCAAGGAATGATATCAGCTAAAGAAGCATTGATATCAATCCGTGATCAAATTGTGAAAACAAAACTAACCTTTACAAACCAAACTATAGAAAATATATTGTGTGTTTAAGTTGGTAGACCTTTTGGTGAAGTTCAACAATAGCGTGCCAGGAGTACAAACGCTCCAATGACCTTGAACTCATTCTAGTCGTCGGCTAAAGACGCCTACCATTATTCTAGCATCAAAAAAATGAACGCTATTCATGAACTCAGGTGCAAATTTCACCCTGAACACGTTTTTAAGTACTGTTTGGATAATGGGTTAATAGCTCTCTAGGGTTAATATTATGGTTAAGATAAGGGTTATAGTTAGGGTTAGTGTTAAATTTAGGGTTAGGTTCACGATTAAGGTTAGAGTTACGATTAGGGATAGATTTAGTTTGGTATTATTTATTCAAAATTTGTTTTATCATTCGCATTTTACCAGGAAGTAGTCGTCGATTCTCTTAATTGAAACCATAATAATTCACACGACGGCTTTTTGAGGAAGACTGCAAAACAAGATAAGAGCAATAAAAAGGCCCTCGAAACCAAGTTATTTTTAGTCATCTGGATGAATACATGTATAGAAATTGGGTTGATTTAAAAACTGACACTCTTGGTTACAGTAGGGATGCATTTTTAAATCATCTCAGAGAAAAATACCCTGTTTAATGTGTTTTCGCTCAGTTCCTTGTAAATATGCATCATTTTTTTAATGCAAAATTCCTCATTTTTATGATTGCTCGGCTCAAGGTCACTCATGCTTTTGCATCCCTTGGGATAGTATTGTTGAATTTTGTTGACCTTTCAATGTCATCCCGGAGATAATTATCAGTAAAACTCCACGTGTAAGTAGTTTTCTATGTGCTTGTATTCTCTCAACTGAGAAGCTTTCAATGTCTTTATAGACGAATATCTTCGTATGCAGTGGACGTATTTGATTTCCCCGTGATTGACGTAATTGTTTTTGTTTTATTCCTTCACGTTCCTAGCGGAACATAGGGCCACTTCAAACTAGAAGCTTGAAGTTTCTGTAGCAGTGTTTCTTTTTACATTATGGAATCGCTAACCGCATGCCCAGCCTTTTCTCTTTACCATTTTTTATTACTGATCTGGTGAGGTAAAAGAGTGTGTTTGTGGCCGGGGATCGAGCCCCGGACAATGTGTATGTTCGTCGAGCGTCCTAACTGCTGTGTTACTGACACGACGTAATTGTATCTCTTGACAGTCTTTGTTGTAACTGGTTGCTGATTTGCGTCACTGCTGATAGTTTCCATCGACATGGAATTCGACTCCTTTCTTGTCAAACAACGTGTTCCATATCAGTTGATAAATTTTATTCTACAATAATGTGTTTGTTAGTCTTTGATTTGTTTAAACGCCAGATATCTAGGACCTTCCTGGAAATTTCAACACTGACGTCTAAAGCTGTCTACATACATGTATTGATATGAAGGCATGTAGGCTGTGTCTTTTCATAGCGAGTTTATCTTCTTCAACTTAGAGTCGAAGAGGATGTCCACTTTTGATGAATATAGTGCTTATCACAGTTCATGCGAATTATATTGTGGAAAGGGTTGATTTGGTATTATTAGGTGTTTTATGATTTATGTTTGGTGCCACACAAAATCAAAGAATTACAAGCGAAAACTGAAAAACTGATCGAAGAAATAGCAGAGACAGGACTCCAGGTGAACATAGACAAGACGGAGGTTATGAAAATAATCAACCAACAACAACAGAAACATCCAGCGCCAATCACTATAAATAGGAGGAATGTGAAAGAGATTACTTCATTCACTCACTGATCTAGGGAACATTGTCTCAACTACAGACAGTCGGAACGGACGAGGATGTCAAATCGAGAGAGAATCGGGAAGGCGAGAAACACATTCATCAACTTGAAACAACCAATCTGAAAATCTTCGTCACTCAGCCAGCATCGACAACAAAATTCGGTCGGATTTTCAATACAAACAACGTCAAGTCAGTCAGTTCTTCTATATGAATCAGAAACTTGGCGGGCAGGTCACAAAGAATATTTTCAACAGCCTGTTTCAGACGACCTTTATCAACAACAACTGTCTTCGCTGGCTCTATACTGAAGATCAGATGGCCGGGCCGGAAAGAATCACCAACAAGAAACTATGGGAACAAACAAACAGAACAAGAACCAATTGCCAACCAACAAATATGCAGGAGAAAGTGGAGACGGATTAGACACGCGCTGAGGAGGCCGCCGCTGGGTGGCATCGAGTGCGGGTCAGGCCATTGCTCGATTGGAACCCGAAAGGGAAGCACACGGCTAGTGGGACGTCAGTGCAAGGGTGACATGGAGGAGATCTTGTGAAGAGGAGTTGAAACAGACTAACATGGACTAACATGGATGCAGGTGAAAAGTACAGCAGAGGACAGAAGTAAGTGGAGACGTGCAGTTGAAGCCCTATGTTCCACTAGGAACCCAAGGGAACAATAATAATAATAATAGGTGTTAGGTCTTTGGCTCTGTTTTGGTTTGTGTATGAGATATCTATTCTGAATGGTTTTAGTATTCCAGCTGTTATTTCAGAAACATTCTTTATACATAGTATTTTCATTCAAAAAATACGACAGGTATTCTTTCAAACCAGTATATGCATGTAGACAATGACAGACATCAATTGACTAGGAATGACAGAAACTGAAATTGATGGACTGCCCACTGGATCGAACTCTAATGACTTAATGGACTACGAACTCGTCTTGTAACTATTAGGTTCTGGGTGGGTGCATATCATTGAAGAGTCCCAAACTAGGACGGAGGAAGCTGCCCCGTAGTACTCCAGGCTTTCGAATGTTTCTCTAACCAATGTCAGCTCATGATGAAATCCTCAAAACTCCTAGAAGCTTGGTATTCAGACTAATTGGTGATCAACAGACGACGCATTATTACTAGATCAAACAAGTGCTAGCCACCATCCCCGAATTAATGAAGAATAAGTTTCGATAAAGAAAGAAAGATGAAATTTGCAGTATAAAATGATATCATCATTCTGCTTCACAGATTCTCATCAGCTAACTGCAGACTACCTGAAATTACAAGGGTTATATAGATGACAATAACGTACTTTATTATTTGAGTGGTAGTAGAGAAGAAATACTATAAAATTGATGCTTCTAAAATGCAAACATTACAATTTTTAGTTTAAGTTTTCATCATCAGTTTTTTTTCCTTCACGTTTCCCGGTGGAACATAGAGCTTCAAGCTAGTGGCTTGAAGTTTCTGTAGCAGTGGTTTTATTTTTATAAGATGGAGTAGCTAGCCTCATGCCCAAGCTTTCCTCTTTACCAGCATTGTTTCTAGGCTTAGCGAGGTAAAGGAGTGAATCTGTGGCCGGGGATCGAACCCCGGACCATACGTATGGTCGGCAATTTATACGCTTTCAAAGTAAAAAGGCGGGGGGGGAGGGGTAAGACAGAAAACAGGAAAAATTAAAAAAACAACGTTGTCTTATAGGTTCACATAGCAACTCTATGAAAAACAAAAGCGGTTACAGTTTATAAGATTAAGATTTGTTCAGTGAGATGAGATCACTGAATTAGATGACTAATTAATGTAGTCAAAATCACAATTCAGTTACCAAGGGAGTGAGAGGTTAATCACACCCTCTTTCTGTATTCATAAGTCTGGCTTAAAATCGTTTGACTGAGATCGCTTCAGCAAATCGTAATAAATTTGCTCCCCTTTTTCTATTTAATATTTCGAAGAACTTAGAAATCTCTACAAGATGTCTGGTATCAACAGTGTATGTCTGGTAATTGCACTCTGGGAATATTTGCTTCCTTTCAGACACAGGTTTCTTGGAATAGGTTGAGAAAGCCGGATAGAAACCCTTCATTCTGTCGTTCGAACATACTTGCTCCCGCAAGTGCACGTAAATTCATAAACGCAGATGGATGTGACATCAGCAGGGTATTTTGCTTATATTTTCGATGCGTCAGTTTTATAGTATTTCTTCTCTACTACCACTTAAACATTAGAGTATGTTATTGCCATCTACATAACCATTGCAATTTCAGCTAGTCTGTAGATGATGAGAACCTGTGAAATAAAATGATGATATCATTTTCATCTTCCTCTCTTTCTTTATCGAAATTTATCAAGGGAACCAAATGTATGAAAAATAAGTTTCATGACAAAACAGGAGTTGAATTTCAAGTCAATAAAAACGATCAATACTGATGCAAATTAACAACCAATCAGAGGACAGTTTTATCAGAAGATATAATTATATTATCCATGGAGAACTGGAAATAAGTTCACTTCATATTAAAAAGTTTGCGCTGAAGATCTTGTCGAAAAGGATAATGAAGACTTGACAATTAAACCATTCAGATCAGAGAACACAACCGCATAAAAATCATCTACATGAAATGCAAGAAACTTCCCTTGTAAAGGAGCAAATCTTAAGCATGTATATTTTGAGATGTAAAAATTATAAATCTCATTTGTATGCTTACCTGCACCAGCATCTCGTGTTATCAAGGTGAAGTTAGCTGGTTCACCAGCTCGTCCATATGACAATCCAGGTCCATAGGCTGTTACAACACCAGAGCCAACAGCTTCGACGTAAAATCTAAATGGACTACCTGGTATCGGTTGACCATTGTAGGTGATTTCTAATTCATGCAATCCAGGTTCATTCGGTTGGAATTGTGCTGTCACTGTGCCATCACCATTGTCAATTAAATTTGGATGGAGAATTCGACCACTTGGTGTACGAACCAAACCTTTTAGAAAAGAAGATAAATAAAAACTCGTGAAAACAAATCTAATCCTTACAAGCCAACTATAGAAAATTAATCTGATGCTCTCCAGTGACTTGCTACAAGACTAAGTTTCCTGGAGTTCTAGTGAGAAGTCGTGACCAGTGAGGTCCATCCAGTCAAGTGTGAGGATGGATGTCCCACTGGTGACATTGGTTAGTGGTCGCGCTAAAATCACAAAGTTAGAATTCATGGACTGACTGGCCATTGAGGAATTGGGTCCCAGTGGCTGAACAGTGTACGAGATCCTGATTTCAAATCCTGGCGGTGAGTGCGTACTGCCGATGATTTTTCCAACAGTAGGATGAAACAGCTGTCCGGCAGTACTCCCTGGTGTCTTACAATGGTTCTCTAACTGATATCAATCCGTGATCAACTCGTCAAAAATGGTTCTTACTAAGATCACCCACACACACTAACATCATTAGACATTTCTGATGATATACAAGACGGGAAATAAGAAGTGATTCAAGGTACTTAGTTGCTATTTTCCATTATTTATTTCAGATACGGAGATAATGTCGGTTTTAGATGGTCGTCATCAGTACTCACACTTAACTATTCAGTGTAAACCAGCTACCGCTGTAAACTGACTAATATCGAGTGAGTTCTTTTCTATGAAAGTAGGCTAATATCTGTTAGTGCGTATTAATCGAATAAAAACCTAAAATTCAAGGTATGGAGGATCGCATGGAGGATTTCATCATGAGCTGACATCAGTTAGAGAACCACTGAGAAACCAACTAGGAGTGCTGGGCAGCTGTTTCGTCCTAGTTTGGGACTCTTCATCAGTATATACCCACAAGGGTTCGAACCCAGTACCTTCTGGTTACAAGGCGAACTCGGGGCCATTGAGCCACTGAGACCCGACTCTGGGCCTTGTAACCAGAAGGTCCTGGGTTCAAACCCATTGTTATTATTATATCCTTTAATTTCTAGAGGAACATAGGGATTCAGCTACGCATCTCCATTGCCTTGTGTTTTCTGCCAACTTTTTCTCTCCGCTCCAAGTCTGTCCACATGCTTTCATCTCCTCTTCACATGACCTCCTCCAAGTCACCCTCGCACTGACGACCAACTCGCCGCTTCCCATTCGGGTTCCACTCGAGCGATGGCTCGTCTAGTAATGTCAGTTGATAGTTTCCTCAGAGTATGGTCAGCCAATCCACCTCCATTTCTTCCTGCTTATTTGTTGCACAATTGGTTCCTGCTGGGTTGGTTCGCTCATTGCCAGAGATCCCTGTTGCTGTTCTTTTCTGACCGGCCATCTGATTTTGAGTAGTATTGAGCGAAGACAGCTGTTGATGAAGGTCTGTAGTTTGTTCGAAGACCCTTTCCTGATGCGCAGTGCATGTCTGTGATCCGTATAGTAGCACTAACTTTCCATTGAAATTGAAAATCTGGGTCTTATTTTTGATGCTGATTGCTGTTGACTTCCACACAGACTTGAGAGAAACGAAAGCTTGTCTTGCTTTCCCGATCTTTGCTTTAATATCCTTGTCAGTTCCGCCTGTAGTTGAAACGATGCTTCCCAGGTAGCTAAAGGAAGTTGTTTCTTTCAGATTCCTCCTATTTATGCTGATTGTTGTCTGGAGCTAAATTATGAACTACTGATATTCAGAGACTTCAAAAATTGGCCTTTCTTCCATTCCTTTGCATTCCAAGTGGAACTTAAGACTCTCAGCTTTGAAGTTTCAGTAGCTCTTATAATAATTTTTTTTATTGGATGGCATTGCCACGCCTCACGTCTAACTCTTCCTCCATTCCAGGCTCAATATCGGTTAGGATGAATTGGATGTTGATAAGAGGATAGCAACAAAAGTGATGAGTTGTCATAAATGATTGTTAAATAAGAGTTACGTAATGGCATGAATAGTTTGATGAATGAGTTGTGCTCAAAGGGTGTACATGGAAACAAAATAATATACAGAATTATACAAGGGTTTTAAGTTAGAAAAATGAGCATACAAACAGAAGTAAGGTCAAATCAAACAAACAAAGAAAAGTTAGGTCAAATCAAAGGAGTAGTTACCATGCGAGTAGAAGTGGTTGGATAATTTTCTTTTGTATGCATAGTTCTGGTTCCTCCAACTGGATGGCTAGGGCTTCTGCGATGCAAAGAAGACGGAATCGTACTGTCTTTGGAAGGTTGTTCTTCACTTTGTAGATTACTTTGAAGGAGGCGTTCGTTGAGATGGAATGACCAGTATTGACGAGATGTTCGATTATTGCACTCCTTATATGGCCATTATTTCCTTTCTGTAGCCACGCTGGATAGTGTTCTTTTACCCTTTTAGACAGGATGCGCGTTGAACGACCGATGTACCTGGCTCCACAGCAACAGGTGAACTGATACTTTATATGAACCTAGACTTCAAAGGAGACCTATTTAGTGACGTCCTCAGAAGGAGAATTTCCACCTCTTTAGGAAGAACTTTCTCTGCGGCAACACTAAGAATAGTGTTCTCCAGTCGCCCGCTGATCTGCAGAAACCCAAAGGACAAGATTCCGCATATGACCACTTCTATGTGTATATATCAGTTCACCTGTTGCTGTGGAGCCAGGTACATCGGTCGTTCAACGCGCATCCTGTCTAAAAGGGTAAAAGAACACTATCCAGCGTGGCTACAGAAAGGAAATTAATGGCCATATAAGGAGTGCAATAATCGAACATCTCGTCAATACTGGTCATTCCATCTCAACGAACGCCTCCTTCAAAGTAATCTACAAAGTGAAGAACAACCTTCCAAAGACAGTACGATTCCGTCTTCTTTGCATCGCAGAAGCCCTAGCCATCCAGTTGGAGGAACCAGAACTATGCATACAAAAGAAAATTATCCAACCACTTCTACTCGCATGGTAACTACTCCTTTGATTTGACCTAACTTTTCTTTGTTTGTTTGATTTGACCTTACTTCTGTTTGTATGCTCATTTTTCTAACTTAAAACCCTTGTATAATTCTGTATATTATTTTGTTTCCATGTACACCCTTTGAGCACAACTCATTCATCAAACTATTCATGCCATTACGTAACTCTTATTTAACAATCATTTATGACAACTCATCACTTTTGTTGCTATCCTCTTATCAATATCGGTTAAGCAAGCTTTAGGAATACATCAATGTCCAGGAGCCGAACTCGGACCATGTGTGAAGGAGGGGGTGGAGGGGAAGGGGGTGTAGTTGGTGAGCTCTCTACTCTTGAACCAGTGTAACTGTTAACTGTCACTGCACAAATCTAGGTAACCACATTTTTGTTCTTTTCTCATTGCTTTAATTCATTACTTAAGTAGTAGTAAAAAAAGATTGAATTTTATCAAGATTAGATATGAAGCAACACGTTATTTCTGTCAAGTGACCGTCTTACTTGGCACAAAACACACCGGCGGAAGTAAATGCCAGTGGACTAATCATATATATATATATATATATATATATATATATATATATATATATATATATATATATATATATATATTATTTTTACTACTAATAATAATAACAATGATAGTAATCAGTTGATTCCAAGCAATGGAATTTCTAGCATTTCCATATCAACACATAAATTTCACCCTGTTTGCAAATAAAAGCAGAAGAAATAACCCCTTCTCCCCTTGCCCAGAGAAAAATTAAAAATTAAAGTTTGTGCTGGCTATTTTTTTTTGGAAATTCCATTTGTGATTTATATACACATATTTGTATGCCTTACTGTTTTCTGCCATTCACTATGTGATATTTTCTTTGCATTTATAATAGCCGTGAGAAACGAAGAGGGGAAACGTTTTTGCTATAGTTAAAGAATAGGTACACCTAGAAGAACATGAATAGTGAGTAATCCAAAGGGAATACAAAGCACCACCAGTAATCTTGAAAGACTCAAGCACAGCAAGATAGGTAAATAACACTATATTCTTTTTATAAAAAAAAACGTTTTGAAAGAAATGCAAGAATATTCTTTACAATAATTTCCCCTCTTCGGGTTCCTACAATAATAAAATATAATGCATTTGTTGTCGTTACAATAATGATAGCCAGTTATGCAGCGGATATATTTATTTTTACACAGAATAACAGATTACTTATGGGTGCCAAAATTAGTAGTACTTTTTCATTGTTCTGTCTGTCTGGATTCAACATAGAACTTGGCACCGAAGTGCAGCAGTTCGAGTTGCCACGTTCCAAATAGCACACAGAGGTAGACAAGAAGATGAGTGGAGAGAATCAATAGAGTTTGACAAGTATGAGAGTGAAACAGAATGGGTAATGGTAGGAAGGAATATGAAAGATTACAGAGACTGAATACATCTGCGCCATTGACAACGATTTTGAGCCATGTCACCTATTGTCTCCAGCCATTGATTCCTAGAGTCCCGAGGGCCCCAACCCGGGAGTCTGCATCTCCCTACCTGACTCAGTTTAACTGTCAAGGATTTCATGGATTGATGCCATGTTTTTGTTTGGCCACCACTGGCTCTTTTCCAACCTGAACCTATATCAGCTAGCAATGCCCGTCGGGGGAGGCGGTGGTTAGGCATGCGCAGCACGTGACCTAGCCATCTTAGTCTATGTAACTTTATAGCCTCGTCGATTGATTTTCCCTCTTTGCCCAACACTCTACGCCTAACGTCAACATTACTTATCTTGTGAAACCACCTAACGTGAGACAGAGATCGCAGACATCTATGATCGAAAGCAGTTAACCTTTTCATGTCTTCAACGCGTATTGGCCATGTTTCAGAGCCATAGAGAAGGACGGAGCGAACTGATGAGCAGTACACACGTCCCTTGGTTGATAACCGGATGTCACGCCTACGCCAGAGATGGTGTAAGTCAGCGAAAGCAGCTCGAGCTTTTCGGATCCGTGCTGAGATTTCATCGCCAATCAGTCCGTTGGTGCTAATACAACTTCCCAAGTAGGTGAAGTGGTCAACATGTTCTATCACTTCACTCCCTATCACTAAGTTAGGGGTTGACGTGGTCCAGTCCTGTAGCAGCATCTTACATTTTGCAGGGGCGAATCGCATGCCAAACATACGAAGATTGCTGCTCAAGGTGTTCAGAAGACTCTGCATTTTTTCAGCATCCTCCCCTAACAGGACTATGTCATCTGCATATTCTAAGTCCATTAGATTATTCCCTGGTAACAAGTCGATTCCTAAGTCACTACGTTCAGTTAAGGATACTTCCATTAGCATATCTATGATGAAGTTAAACAGAAATGGGGAAAGTGGACATCCCTGTCGGACACCACTGGTTGTTACCAATTCAGATGACAATTCCCCATAAGCCCTTACACGACTACGTGAGTTTGAATAGAGTGCCTTGATTAGTGCAATGTACAAACGTGTTAGGCTGAGATCGATTACAACATATTGTAAAATGGAAGACAATGGCGGTGATTAGTCATAATAGATTCGCTGACTCTGGGATAGGAAAAGCGACAAGTCAGTCAGGTCAAGGTTATGAAAGGCGTCAGCTGGGTGAGTGGCTAGTACATAACAGTGTGCATTAAAGAGGTGATAGTGGGACTGCAATAAGAAATTCATAATGAAATAACGAATGTGTGAAATGAAACAGGTGGAGGCATATATTGAGAAAACAGATTATATCACTAATAATAAGTCCGACAGTATAAATGGAAAATTCGATAGTACTGAATCTTTGCATGAAGGGCATAAACTATGACCAATAATAATAATAATTGTAATAATAATATTTGTAATAATAAGCAAAGTAAAAAAAACCAAGAGGGTTAAGGGGAAGGAGTACTCTTGGTGAGAAGAAGAATCATCAATCCAAGTTTGACCACGGCGAGAACAGCGTCTGAACGTGTTATTTGTGGATACACAGTTCCAGTTTAGTCGATCTTATTGCAACAGCTTCAACTATGTGTAGGAGACGTAAGCGAACTGAACGTGATAACGACTTCGGAATTGGGTATATAACCCTGAAAGCTGTGTTGACATCGATGCTATGTCCAGTATCGACCAAGTGTGACAGGATCGAGCTTTTTATGCACTTATTTCCCTTCTGCTGGCACCCATAACTAATCTGTTATTCTACGTTAAAAATGTATCCGCCGCATAACTGGCCTTTACTGTAACAACAACAAATATTATATTTTATAATTGTAAGAACCTGGAGAGAAATTATTGAAAATAATATTCTTCCTTGAGATTGACTTTTAATTCATAATATGGGAATATTTCACACTATCAAATGTAAGAGTATTCCATAAGAAATCTGGTTAGTATAAGGTTACGTTGAGACAGGGACTCATATTTGCTTTACACAGCACAGCTACTCCTTCCAAGGATATAAGTGAATTCATTCCTCTGTATTACGAGTTGATCACGGATTCATATCAGCAAGAGAACCAAGAAAACCAGTATTGGAGTACTGCCAGACAGCTGTTTCATCCTAGTTTGGGAATCATCTACAGTACGCACCCACTACTAGGGTCAGAACCCACGACCTTCTGGTTACAAGGAAAGCTGGCTCGTATACCATTCAGCCACTGGGACCCGATTCCTCAATGGCTAGTCAGTCCATGAATTCTAACTTCTACCAATTCGTGATGAGTTTAGCGCGACTATCAACCATTGTCGTCAGTGGGACATGCATCCTCACACGTGACATCCGGATGGATCTCAGTGGTCACGACTTCTCACTAGAACTGACTCCAGGAAACTGCATCCTGTAGCAAACCAAACTATAGTAAATTCCTCTGTATGTCTATTGCTTAACTCGCTTATATTTTACAAAAAGGCACGAAGTAAAACAATGCTAGTTTAGGTCACGTCGGGCTCAAGGCTTTGTGTATGCCGGTGGCGCAGAGATAGAATGCTCGCCAACCACCCCTGGTGTATTTTGGGGTTCAAACCTCCGCCACAGACGCACTCCTTTACCTCGCTAAGCCAGTAATAATAAGACTGTTAAAGAGGGAAGTTTGGTCATGAGGCTAAAAAATAGATACCACTGTTACCGAAACTTCGAAGCTCTATGTTCCGCTGGGAAAGTAAAGGAATAAAATATGAAGATCAATTTGGATTGATTAAAACACTATGGGATAAGTGTAATGCTGGCATAAAGCTTAAACAAGCCACAGGGAAACACAATGATGAACACACTTTCAATCAGTGATTGGGAAGCAGCAACATACACATATATTGATTACAATCTGACAACCATTTAAATACATGAAGTTCAGACTAATTGTGATAGAAATCCCTTGAATGAAAATCGCTTCTGGCGTCATACTTGTTCAACTAAAGAGCACTTATTTGGTTAGAGAACCACTGAAAAACTTGGGAGTACTGGGCGGCTGTTTCGTCCTAGTTTGGGGCTCTTCAGTAGTACGAACCACCGTGGTTCTAACTCAGGACGTTCTAGTTACAAGCCCATGGAGCTTGTAGACCATTAAGCCACTGGGACCCAATCGAGTGGCCCATGAATTCTAACTTCTGCCAATTCATGATATAAAGCGACCCCTAGCCAATGTCTTCGGGAATTATTTATCCTCACACCCGACCTTTGCATCTTAGTGGTCACGACTTCTCAGAATTAGCAAAGTTAGAATTCATGGGCCATTTGATTGGTGGGTGCCAGTGGCTTAATGGTCTATGAGGTAGCTCGCCTTGTAACCATAAGATACTGGATTCGAACTCGTGTGGTGGGTGCGTACTGGTGAAGAGTCTCAGACTAGGACGAAACAGATGTCCAGTACTCCCGGTTAATTTTCCAGTGGTTCTCTAACCAGTGTCAGCTCATGGTGAAATCTTCCATACAATTATATATATATATATATATATATATATATATATATATATATATATATATATATATGTCCAAGCCAAGTTCACTTTTAACATTTGGAAAAAATTCTGGCATTGGGTGTTTTTGTATTTCCCAATGAATGAAAATCACTGACGTTTCGCTATTTAATGCTGCTGCTAACAGCTTTATCGAAGTAGTGATATTAAACCAGAATTTACAAAATCCACTCAGCTTATATAAGACAACTTAGTCATCGTTCCTCAGCATGAGGTCATTCTAGCGTTGTCGAATTGGCCAATTGATAAAGATAACAAAACCAGGTGTAGACTGTTGGAGTTGATAAGTGTGTAGAATAATAAAAGCAGCATGTGTTTACATAATGAAATTTTGATGTGGTTGTGTTCTCTGAGCTGGATAGTTGATTTGCTAAGCTTTCATCACCCGCCCTACTAGTCAATATCTTCAGCGAATACTTCAGTTTGAAGTGAGCTTTTATATTTCTCCACGCGTTTATTAATCATCTCTCCTGCTGGTGACCTTGGACGTGACTAGTTGTTTTCGTGTGTTTTCACACCATCTAGGCTACTTGTATTGGAACTGATTGTTTTTTTGACTTGAACTTTGACGCTTTAAATTTAAAGGCTCATTTCCTCGAATTAAAGTATTGGCTGAAGATGTTGACTAGTAGGGCGGGTAATGAAAGCTTCGCAAATCCAACTATCCAGTTCAAAGAACACAACCACATGAAAATCATCCACCTGAGCTACAAATCTCCTCTGTGATACATAATGAAATTGCTTATCACATTCGTGTTGATTTTGTCATTCCACGGGGGTGGGGGCGGGAGAGAGGAAGGCGTGTTGTAACCAGGTCAAATTCTGTTTCAGTTCATCATTCCTATTCAGTTCAGACAATTTGGATTCCATATGATATGAAGTTTTGGCTTCTGATATGAGACAATGTTCTTTGTGATTTCTCAAATGCTTTTTTTTGGATTATTAATATTAAAATGAAAGATTATTTAGGAAAAAAAAATTAAATTCCAAGACTAATCAGGAACTGACGTCAGTTTGAGCAACACTGAAAGCCAGCAAGGAGTACTTGACAGCTGTTTAGTTGTACTTTACGACTTTTTAGAAGTAGACAGTGATGACCCAACTAGGCATGAAAACTCATGAATTACCAGGCACAAGACAAGCTTGTAGACTATTCAAGCACTGGGATGAAATTCAGTGGAGTGGGTGCATACTGATGAAGAGTTGCAAACAAGGACGAAACAACAAATACCATTGTTACTTACCTTCGACATGACTAAATGTTGGACCAACAGGTAGTTTAAAGTCAACTGGATGATAGCCTGTTGTAATTGTTGATGAATGTATCGACTGTACAGATTGTACATTAACATGTTGAACTCTTTGTTCTTGTATAGTCTGTTGGAGAAATAAAGTAATACGTTTGTCAATATGTTAAGTAAGATATTTAAATATATTAAATATTCCCAAAGTAAAATTTAGAGCAGCACATTTAAGCGAACAATATTGTGGTTTCAATTAGATCTCATCAGGCTTAACTCTAATATACATAAGAGTTTACAAACAAATATTCAAATATAAAACAATCATGGTGTTTTGTCTATAGGATAATAAGATGGTGAATATAAATTGTGCAATTAGTCATAATAGTAGTAATGATAATAATAATAATAATGGTTTTTATCGATAATAAGGATGAAAAAGAGGCAATCTGTGATAACACTATAATTTAAAAACAGCATGATTAAACTGATATGTATCCATATAATATGTGTGTTTTGTTTGACAGCCTGTTCTTGGTGATATATATCCACATAATATATGTGTTTGTTCGATAGTCGGTTATATTTTACTATGTATACATGGATCGATATTCCATTATAATTAGCCAATCATGTTAAGACTGTCTACTGATTTGTTCATTTTGAATATTCGCTCACACACTTGTTCGGACATTCATATTTTTGCTCTCACACTCTTGTGTGACATTTTGATTCTCCTTGTGTTTTGGAAAATAGAAGTATCATCGCAAACCTAGTGGTCTTCTGATTTCCGTCTTTCTTGCATCAGGACTAATAAATTCTCAACCAGTACATAACATAAACAACGCAAATGTTCAGGTGGAAGTAGTCGATAAAGGCTAGTGAAAACAAATGAACCGATTAAGTAATGCTAGACTGATTGTAAGGGAAATAAATGAGACAGGTTTTTAATGAAGATGTGATAAGATTAAGGGATTATAAGAAAGGGGTTGAAAATATAATATAAACAAGGTGGTGAAGAAGTCATTAGTTGGTTATGTCTTAGTAGGCCAACAAGCGAGGGATAATGGCTGTACGAACTTCTTTTGAATGCATAGTTTAGGTTTAATAGTCCAAATGCCTATCGCCTGCCTCAGCTGTGTGCGAGCAGTAGACGAATGCGAAGTCTATTGCAAGAAAGATTCGGTGGGATACGATGAATTACTTCGAAAGCTCTCGTTTTTTCCACTACATGACCACTATCAATGAAATGTGACAAACTTGAGCTACGGATTGTTTTTGTCTGCACTTTGCCAAACCACGATGGGAGAGGTTCACTAACACGTTGGCTACACTGCCTAGTAGTACGCCCAACATAACTAGATCAACAACTTGATCAATTCATGAAAATGGATTCTTATTGTCTCTTTGAATTGACTACACTTTGACATCAAAGCTGATCCTTAATCAGTTATTATTATTATTTCATTTAATTCCTAGAGGAACATAGGGATTCAGTCAAACGTCTCCAGTGCGTTCGGTTCTCTGCTAGAGTTTTCACCTGGCTCCAAGTCTCCCACATACTTTCATCTCCTCTTCACATGACCTCTCCCAAGTCACCCTCCCACTGACGACGAACTCGCTGACCCCTTTCGGGTTCCACTCGAGAGATGGCCTGTCTAGCGATGTCACCTGATGGTCTGTTTTCTCAGAGTATGGCCAATCCACCTCCACTTATTCGTGCAGATTTGTTGCGCAATCTGTTCCTGCGGGGTTGGTTCGCTCATTTCCAGAAATCCCTGTTTCTGATCTTTTCTGGCCGGCCATCTATTCTTGAGTAGTAGTGAGCAAAGACAGCTGTTGATGAAGATGTGTAGTTTGTTTGAGGTGCTCTTTATGACGTGCAGTGCAAGTCTCTGATCCGTATAGTAAGTAGCACTGACTTCCCGTTTGATTTGAAAATCCGGATCTTATTTTTCATGTTCACTCGACATAAGTTGAATGAAATCACACACACACACACATCAGATCCTTTGTGGAGTGAAATCCAAATAGTAAAGGACGAGTTGAGCATTGGTCTAAGGGTGACTTGGAGGTGATAGTTTGCGTGTGTGTGTGGGGGGGGAGACGGTCTTATGAAGCCCCCAGCTTTTCAGATGGAACCCAAACAACGAATAATCATAATTAACTTTTTATTCTCATTCGTCATTCAGTTGAACTGTTGAACTTGAGCCAGAAGAACTACCTATCAGTTATCATAGCATGTATGCATTAGTGAGAGATCTACCTCCCCAAAAAACAAAACACTAACATTGAAATGAACACAGTGAGTGATTAACCATGAAAAATCAATATAATCTGTAAGATACACTTTAAACTTACGCTTATATCATTGACTAACTCTTCTGGACTAACAGCCTAAAAAAATTAATAATTAAAAAAGAAATAACAAACACAAAATAAGTCAGTGTTATTTGTAAATGGTTTACAGTTATTTCAAAAACAGACAAATGTTTATATAACATCTTTCCAAAAATATTGCAACACAGTCCAGTCAACCTTCTGTCTACTTGTTTTTCAGGTTCGAGCCTCACTGTTTTTACTACTTGTCTGAGTATCTGCTTATTACCATAAGAGAACGAGAAGACGTTCAGCGAAGAGATTCTTTTCAACGGCGAATTCATTCACATAGCAACTGTACAATCACATTTATAAATAATTACTTGTATGTTGTGTGTGTGTTCATGAGGTTTGTCAGGTTTAGATAATTGATAAAGTAATACAAAAATGATCTAATATAGAAACAAGGTTAATGAGACATCACCTAAAGTAAGATTGAGTTAGTTAGTAAGTTATATGACGTAATATAATTGACTAAAATGTTTCAACTTAGGTCAGGTAGCAACAGAGGTAATTAAAGATAGAGACTAAGTAGAAGTGGGGTAGAGAATAATGCCATTTAAATTAGAACTGAAATTGAGCAAATCAGTTGGATGACGTTACTAACATAAACGATTAGAAATTGAGCGTTGGTCAAGTCAGTAACAGTGGTAGTGAGGTGAAGAAATTTAATCGGGTGCGGGTAGGGAACAAGAAAGTTGAAAATGTAAAATATTACAATTGAGAAGACAAAATAATACTAATGAAGAGATAGAAAGAAATAGAGTTTTCCTGTCGGGTAATAAGATAAGTTACGTCCATCGCAAGTGTAGTGATTGAATGGACTTCTTCTGTATGCAGGGTTCAGGGCTTAGCAACTGAATCACCATTGCTTCTGCAGTTTGAAGAAGTCTGATTCGTGCACCTATAGGAAGATTACTTCTTACTCTGTAGACGACTTTGAAGTTTGTTTGGGGTGTAGCTTGGTGTCCGGATTCTATCAGATGTTCTAAGATGAAGCTGTAGCGACATCATAGGTATTCATACCATAAGTATTCACAAGCCACATATATGATTTGTAGCCTAATCAGTTGCTTAATATGAAAGACCTCACTCATATACACATACACACACTTGAATTTTCGATATTACATCATGCATGATCTGTTGTGTGGACTGGTGATTACTAATCATATTCACTGATGTTTTTGCTGATAGTCTTACGCCCGACTATGATGAATGGCGTACGGAATAGGCACTATAGAAGTAAGAGTGAATAAATCATCTAGTTGAAGTCAATCTGTGTTGAAAACTCACATCAGTCGTGTAAATACGTGTTTCACTGTTGTTATCCTGTTAGCTATCCATTCATACATGATCTACCTACACATTCAACTCCAGGAATAATGCAATTACACTGAATGTGAAACTCCATTTATTATTATTATTATTAGTGGAGTTATACTAACTTTCAACTGCTTACTGCTAGAGACTTAACTGCTTAGTACAAAGGTATCATAGTAGTCAAAGGGATTTAGACAATCTAAAGACGTCAATTTTCCATGGTTGGAGGATTCCACCATCAGCTGACATCAGTTACAGAGCCATTCCAAAACTAAATGGGAGTACTGGAAGACTTTTTCGTCCTAGTTTGAGACTTGTCACCAGTACGCACCCACCACACGAGTTCGAATCCAAGACCTTCTGGTTACAAGCCCAGCGAGCTAGCTTGCAGACCATTTAGCCACTGGGACCCTATCCAGTAACCAGTCCATGAATTCTACCTTCTGCCAATTCATGATATAGAGCGACTAATTAGCAATATCTTCGGCGAGTACTTGTCTTCATCTTCAACCTGCTGTAGGGATTTTTGTCTGATTAGTTGGAGGATTTCATCATGAGTTGGCATCAGTTAGAGAATCACTGGAAAAACAACTGGGAGTACTGCCAGATGATAAACTTTCTCCATGTATCATTTCGGGTGAAACCAGATGAAATTTCACATGAAATTAAGCTTATACAGCTACCAAAACTTAAAATTCAACTATACCGTATTTAGGACGGATATTATATGAATAGTTTTTAAACCATCCTTATATATTCTGTTAATTGTATCACATTTCACGTGATCCACAACGGACAATTCAGTGAGACGTTCGGAGTACATACAGGAAGGAGTATGACAAGCTGGCTGCTCACTACTATCACCGATGATATTATTAATTGTGGTCGACTGGATTATGCGTCAGACTGTGCATGGGAGTGAGGACCACTGATGAGAAGACTCTAGCAGATGTGTGGGCTTTGCGCGTGGATGATATATGTCTAAGGTTTTACAAACTCATCAACTTACAGACAAACCCCCCCCCAAACTGGCTGAAGAGGCAGGCAGCGAAATCAGGACTCCATGTGAGCATAGAGAAGACGGAGGTGATTCAGATAACCAACAACTCTCAACAACAACAACAACAACAACTTAACATAGGTCATCTCCTTCACTTATCCAGCCAGGAAGCACCGTTTCAACCACAGGCTCTCATAACACATGAAGTTATCAAAGCCGGCCGGCCGGCCAGCCAGCCAGCCAGCCAGTCAAAATCGGAAAGGCAAGAAACACCAGCATCAAACTGAAACCAGTTTGGAAATCTTCTACACTCAGCCAACCAGCATAAAGAACAAGATTCGCATTTTCAACACCAATGTCAAGTCTGTGCTTCTATACGAGTCAGAAACTTGGCCAGTGTGTTACTAAAAGGATTTCCAACAGGTCATGGCAGACTTTCATTAAAACAGCTGCCATCTTTGCTGGTTGTTTACTGAAGGTCAAATAGCCAGCCGACCAGAAAAAATCAGTATCAAGAAACTGTGGGAACAAACCACCCAAGAGCGAATCACTCAGCGAACATTTAGGCGAAGATGGAGATGAATTGATCAAGCGTACGTTGAGGAGGCCGTTGAATGACATAGCGCGCAACTCAGGCCATTGCTCTAGTGGAATCCTAATAATAAGCAACGAGTGGGTTGTCAATGCTAGGGTGACATGGATGAGACCATGTGAAGAAGAGATAAAAGAGTTCAGGCAGTCGGGGTACCCAGTTGAAGAGGACGGCAGAAAACAGAACAAAGTGGAGATGTTCCACTCGGAACCCAAGGGAATAATAATAATAATTGTGTCTGTTGAATATTCAAGGATCATAAATAAAAATTACTTCAATAAGACTTACTTTTTGATTAAATCTTCCATTTGGTATCAGCTCTCCACCAAATCGTATTTCAACTAAATAATCTCCTCGGATCGGTGGTGTATAATAAATGTTAACACGACCATTTGGTGCTTCATGAATTTCAACATCAGCTGTCGCACCAGACGGTGTAACAATACGACAAGTCAACTGGCCAACACCAGCTTGAGCTGTATTCACAGAGATAACACATTCTTGACCAACTGGTACTCGGCTATCATTTCCACCTTTACAATTATTATAAAGAATAATAAAAATATGTTATTCTTTAGCTATTACATATTATAGTATACATATATTATATTAGTACAAGGTGAGATATAGTGTTAATTACTGGTTGATATTTCAAGTGGCATTTGTCGTTCATAATTACAACAATTTATATACACACACAACATTACTAAATTTTGCTTTATATAGCCTTAATTCTTTCTTCATACTGCTTGAATGAAGTATAGGCATTGCGTCATTTCGATTGCATGTAAATTGGTGTTGACAGAGTGTACAAAAATTCAGTGATTAACCTTTCCCTTTCTCTCCCTCCCTCTACCCAAATATGTGATTATATGTTGTAAGTGAATGCAGTACAACGAACGGCCAGGATATTTTCTAGATTACAAAACTAGGTCAATCATTGTAGATCTAATTAATATTTGTGTACACCTTGGGCATTGTGGTATTAATTAATTCAATATTTACTTATAGATTATGGGATAGGTGGGGATTTAGATTTATTTTTATCCGCTTGTTACACTTTGTCACAAATCAACACCCAGTTACAGAAAACAAAGGAGCAGTGAACTACTGTTTCTTCCTATTGTCGGACTCCTCAGTAGTATGCATCCACAAACACACACCCACTGGTAATTTAGACTCAAACTTAAAGACTACGAGACCAAGGTCGTTAATCACTCATCCACTCAGGTAAGGATTCAATAACTCCTGACTTCTAACGTCGTCAACTTGTGATATAGTGCGACTGCAAAGAAGAAAATGCCGATGATGCTCAAAGGCAGTGTTTATTAGGATGAACACAATGTAGGTGCATAAATTTGGTATGCCTTTAAGTCTTTATTTGTACATCATTAGCAAATTGATCGAAACGTTTTGTCGAAAAGAACATGAAACCTAAACCAAAAAGAGAAGAATGCAATTCCCGCCAAAGAAAACACTGTATCTAAATCTGAATTTCAAGGGAGATTTGGCAGTTGATATCCTTAAGAGGAGAATATCCAGCTCTTAAAAGAGGACCTTCCCTGCAGCAACACTAAGAGTGACATTCTATAGCCATCCAATACTTTGAAACAATGCGAAGGAAAAACTCTCGCATATGACCAAGTTAATATGCATACACCAGTTCACCTGCTCGTGAGGAGCTAGGTACATAGGTCGTTGTATGCGCGTCCTTTCAAAACGTGTTAGAGAACATTACCCAGTGGGGCTAAAAAGAGGGGTCACCAATTCAATCAGAAGTGCCATTATTGAACATCTGATCAACACCTCCCACAACATCTCAACTGATTCTTTCAAATTAATTTACAAAGTCAATAGAAACCTACCAAAAGCAGTATGTTTCCGACTTCTCTGCACCACAGAAGCCCTTGCAATATGCATCGAGAAGCCGGAGGTGTGTCTTCAAAAGATATTAGTCCAACCTCTACAACAACCATGGACCTAGTTCGATATGTTCCCTTCTCATTCGTTTCTTCTCTCTTTTTGATCTTTTATAGTTCGGTGTGTGTGTGTGATTCTTACCCCCTCTGTCTTCATTCGATTCACCCCATTTTTTCAGTTATAAAAACACAGTTATTTTAAGTTTTTGTTTTCATGCTTTTCCCGCTGACATTTATAACTGATTTAAAAATTAACTATTTAACAATTATATCTTAACCCTGTTCAATTTTTGTGTTTCTAAGGCTGTTGTAATCTATATTCACACCTCCTAACTTCCATCTCAAGTTGAAAATTATTATTTCAATTTTGTTTCCATGCTCATTTTTACTCACGTTCTTATCGTGTGTAATTTTGTTCCTAAGCCTTTCGTATAAACTATATCTAGTTGAAAATAATTATCACCTTTTATTTGCCATCATAATTATGTGTAATCAAACTAGAATTGTATCCATGTAAGATTATGTATTTAAATGCGATTGTACAGCTTTTGAAAATGAAATCGCCGAAAAGATCGTCATCTTTGCTGAACTTCGTGTTCTCTTCTTTCTAATGTCCATATGGGTGTTTTCCATGATCGAAAATCAACGCATTCGATAGTTTGCTGGGTTCTATGCAGTGTTGTAACGTTCTGCTCATAGTTCTTTGTTTCGATTGTTTTTCCCAGTGCCTGACACATACTGTTACTTTTCTGAATTCGTTTACTGATATATTACTTATATAGGATTATTAGTATCACTCATCACACTTCCGTCATGAATACCTTCAATAAGTATTCACTTCACCTTATATTGGTGGACTCCTCACGTCTTCTTCTCAGTACAACTTAAGCACGTACATGGAGTAACACTGATGAAGAGTCCTGAAATAGGATAAAACGGCTGTCCAGTGCTTCATGGTTTTTAAGTATAGCTTTAACTGAGGTTGGTTCGTAGCGGAATCTAATGATTTGTTTTCTGGGTTTATCACACAGTCAGTGAAACAGTATTATTATTAACAGGTGTCCACATATAAGATTTCTAACAAACCAAACAGGAATTAAGCTGGTATTCAGTCGCCTACAAACTCATTTAGAAACAAATTATGCTGATTACAGGATTCTTTGGAGTCTGTTATCTCATACCTTGTTATAACTGTGAGATCAAAGATATATAGGTTAAATATAGTCCAAGCCAAGCCTAACTACATTGGCCGAGCACAGAAACTTAGTGAAGTCCAACCCAGTAGATCCTAATATGATAAATGTAGAAATAAGCTCAGCTCTAGCACTGTATTATACAATTACACACAAACAACAGTAGGATGGGAAAAAGTAATTGTCCTAAAATCCAAAGTAACAGGGTGGCTGGAGAGAGAAAAAGAGATGGATAACTGAAGCTTTATTTATCGTATCAACTGAGAATGCATACGACAGAAATAACTGAACACATTTCTCCTAGATGTCTAGAAAATTCTATTGCCAAGGTGGCGTGGTGCCATTCTCTCTGAGATGTAAATTTAGCATCCATGTAGGCGGAAAATTCAAAATAACTCTAACAAACAGTGTGTTTGTCCCTTAAATATTTTTTATTCTAATATGATTGACTTTTGGTATTGTTATTACTGCCGTATCAGTTAGTATTCTATGCACAATCTTAACGCCTCGCATATTTGAATGCGGGAGAAATGTACACACATTTAGGCACTTTATGACTGAAATAAATCAATAAATATGCAAACAAAAATCAATAGACTGCATGTAGGGTTGAATAGTGAAGAATAAATACTCTAGTACAAAGACACATACTGTGTGTGTATGACACAGACACACCTACGCAGTAAATTTCTGCTTTCTGATTGGATGAATAATTTGGGGAATTAAGCTTATGTTTATGTATGTTTTGGATGATGTGTACATCGTCAATAAACAATAACAGCATGTGATATATATGATACTATTTTAGGCAGTTTTATAAAATGCTTCTTTTTCTCGTTACTTGGATATAAGCCAAGAAAAGGTTATAAACAAGTAGAAATCATAAAAAATAAAATCAGAGGCATAAATTAGAAAAAAGAAAACTGGAAATACCTACATTTCTTTATTATTATTTAAAATTTCCTCTCACTTAATGTTTGTGAAGGAAGAAAGGAAGGGCCTTTTTCAGGAAAAATGTATAGCTACGAAAAAGGATTCGTTGATTCCATCATAGGATTAAAAGACATTTACAACAAAAGAAAGTTGTATGATTGATGAAGATAATTTTGAATAAAAAAAATTTTTAAATATTGGACTTGGATTTTAGCCAGTTAGTGGTTTTGAAGGGGTCCTGGACTTAAGCTTTGTGCTTATTGGCACTCTTGTTTAGCACACTTCGAGTGACTGGTGTTCCCAGTGGGTATCAGAATCCCGCCACTCAGTACTCCAGTTAGTAATGTTACCATAGCACTATTCAACCTCAGAGGAAGTATTTCTGACTAAAGCATTTGATGATGTTGTAACTACAGAAGACAAAGGCCAGGCAACAGATTTTTTGTTTGAGAAAATCAACAGATATTTATAGATTTTCGTTATTGTTATCAGAGAAGTAACGTCTTCTGATTGGTTGTTTTCTTCCTGAAGGTTATTCTATCATCTCTTTGAGACCGTTTCCTAGATAGTCAGACCATATATCTGTGAATCCTATTTGCACACGCTAAGTCTGCTGTGATTGGTTGTTGAGTTCCTCAAGGTTAGGCTTTGTTATTGTTGTTGACTCCGACTTGGGACGTAAACGTTGGGGTATATAGTTGTCTACAATTTCGGCTAGAAGACAGCTGTCATCACAATGTGCGTTGGCAGCTCAAATGGGACGTCAGTTACGTTACCAACTGCAGATATGCCTTTCAGATAAGTACACATTAGCAACTAACCCAGGTACAGGGTTTCCTACCGATTGCCTTCAACCACTCAGTAATAATAATAATAATAGTAATAATTCAGAGTGGACTCAATACGATGGGGGTGCATCCGATTGGTGAGTTTCAAACAGGATGAAATATCCGTTCATAATCTCACTGCCGGTTTCTCCTAAATCAAGGAGAATTAAACTGAACTGGACCATTCTTCCCCTACTTAACTGACATGGACAACTCGTCCATCGACAGATCATCCGTGTCATTTCCATGCTTAGTGAATGCCCTCTGACATGAGCACCTATTTGTTAAGAATCCCAGTCCCACCGAATTCCGCAACCTCCAATTTAAGTAGTTAGATTACAGGCGTACACCACCATGCTAGTCAATACAAATATGGAAGGCTTGACAATTTTGCCCGTCATACTTTTATATGGGTCATGCTCATCTTTCCAAGTTTACTATATGTACCGCCTAAGTGAGTCCCATCAGTAAGGTGTGTCTGCAACCTCTGAGATTCGAAACTACGTTACTCAGTGCTGCACTCAGAGATACTACCAATGAGCAATTCAGGCTCAAGCAACATTGTCAACGAATCAATCAAGAACGGATCAACTAATTAAAATATGCTGGATAAATGCAGATGGAGTGGAAAATTGAAATACCACATTTCGCTCCAAACAATTTGAGTGGAACGTGATTGGGAAACAATGAGTTGGGTACAGGGACAAGAGTAACACACAGGAGATCGTGGAAGAAGGAGAAGACTGATATTTGTAAAAGAAAAAGAAATGATATTTGTAAAATGTCAGCGAGATTGAAATGAGTAATTCCAACGTTTCCTGCGTTCGGCAAACTGGTCAGAACTCCTTCAGGAAAATTAATCGAAATTAACATAACTAAGGTTTATATATAAAATGAACATTTCTTGTTTTTAAAAAACCTTGTCCAAACATGAGTCATGAAACAGATATCAACATGTATAATAAACAAAATTGTATGAGTTGTGATCAAAATTTGACCTCAGACTAACAAATATTGGTCTACATTTGGTAAACACTTTAAAGAGGGTGTGCATGCGTGTGGATAAACAGTTGTAAAACATTTGTTAACATCTCCATAAGAAGATGTAGACAGTCGGGAATTTCGACCAAGTTTTATTAATTAGTGATACATATCCATTTTATTTATTAATCAGGATTTCCTATGCATCAGCTAGCATCACACCTTCATATCTATTCAAACTGTTACTATCTAGAATTTTATGATTAGACGTATTTTCAAAATTATAGTGTTTAGAATTAGAGTTTAGTTGAAGCACCCTGTCGAACTCATTGCCTTGTCATCTTTTTGAAGATTGAGCTGCTTCATTTGACCTACTGGAGTTGTCAGGCGACTCGACAGCCACGGATTTAGGATATGCATTCTGTTGCAGACAACGGAGAGTGAAAGAGGTGTGAAAGAAGACAGAACAATAAGTCCGACAGGGTGCTTCAACTAAACTGTAATTCTAAACACAATAATTTTGAAAATACGTCTAATCATAAGATTCTATTTACTAACAGTTTGAACAGACATGAAGGTGTGATGTTAGCTGAGGCATAGGAAATCCTGACTAATAAATAAAATGGATATGTATCACTAACTAATAATACTTGATCAAAGTTCCTGACTGTCTATATCTACTTATGGAGATGTTAAGACATTGTTTTACAACATACACACTGTGTTTAGAGTGTTTACCAAATGTAGACCAATATTTGTGAGTCTGAGGTCAAATTTTGATCACAACTCATACAATTTTGTTTATTATACATGTTGATATCTGTTTTTCATGACTCATGATTGGACAAGGTTTTTTAAAAACAAGAAATGTTCATTTTGAATATAAACCTTAGTTATGTTAATTTCGATTAATTTTCCTGAAGAAGTTCTGACCAGTTTGCTGAACGCAGGAAACGTTGGAATTACTCATTCCAATTCCACTGAGATTTTACAAACATAATATTTTACAAATGTCTACTTCTCACTCGGCGCCCACATATTTTAGAACTATTCTTTTTTATCTTGAGGACAGTTCATTTGAGGAGAAGAAAGCTTTTGGACGAATGTGAAGCCAGATAAAAATGAATTCAGATGACAGGACAAAATAGAGAGGTACTGTTAAAGCCCTAATGTTCCACTTGGAAACCAAGGAAATAAAAAAGCTGATCATATTTAATTGAATTTTTTTTAGATTTCCCCGTCGATTGATTTGAGCGAAGTGCTCGGTCTCGGGTTGAAATGTCTGTCGGCTTCTTGTGCAGATGCTTCGACGATATCTGGGCATTTAATTAGAATTTAATTGGTAGATGGTGACTAGCTGTGGAATCCAGGATGCACATCCAGCTGACGAGACCTAAAATAAGACGAAATGTGTGTTGCCCTGGATTCCACTGCTAGTCACCATCCACCAATTAAATTCTAAAAATAACCATATATAAAGGGATTTAATTTCTATGTATATACATAACAATGAAATCAAATCTTGCTTACTTTCTATACGACACAGATTAGCTCGTCCAGATGGAGCAACTGGTACTAAAAATGGACTTTCAGGTATTTCTTGTCCACCATATTTCACGCGTACAGTGTGTCGTCCCACAATCATTGGTGTATAATGACATACGTATGTTCCATCGCCAACATCAACAACTTCTAATTGTAATGGTTGACCATCAGGGTCCTAGAAGAGGAATAAATGAATATGTTAGGTAAGATCATTTGTGTGTGTATGTGTGTGTGATATGCATGCAGATGTGTTTTTGCGGAGACAACAATGGTTATTACAACAACGTCAATACTTATAATGACAACAAAAGGTATACTATCGTATACGGCACACATAAAAAGTGTGAGAGGTCTACACAATGACTGTCGTTTTATAAACAGTTCTACTTCATCTTTCCACAGATTCCATCATGAGTTGACACCAGTTCGAGAAGTACTGGAAACCAGATTGAGCTGGGCAGCTGTTTCATCCTGATTTAGAGGCTCTTCAGCATTGTCCACATATGTCCTCATAAGCGATCGAACCTATAAGCTTCAGGTTACCAGAGAAGTGCGTTTGTTACGACAGAAGACAAGGGCCAGGAAACAGATCGTTTATTGAGAAAATCAACAGATATTTGTAGATTTTTATCTACATTATTATTAGCGATTGTTATCAGCGAAGCAACGTCTTCTGATTGGTTGTTTTCTTCCTGAAGCCTATTCTGTACTGCATGTGACCGTTTCTCAGAAAGTTAAGCCATATATCTGCGAATCCTATTTGCGTACGCTAATTCTGCTGTGATTGGTTGTTGAGTTCCCCAAGGTTAAGCTTTGCTACTGTTTTTCTCATGACCCCGGTTCGGGACTTTAACGTTGACGTATATTGTTGTCGACAATTTCTGGCTTGCAGACAGCCCTCTCTCCGCACGTTGACCTTCCAGTCACGGGGCTGAAATCTACTGATCAGTGAATTCGAATTTCTCTCAAAGTGTGTAATAATTGCAGCACTGCCGACTAACACCCATCCTTTTTTTTTTTTTTTTTTTGTGCAATGGTTCAAGATTTTCAGTAAAACTCTCTAAGGGATTGCGTAAGTGGAAAGAAAAAAACTGGAACTAATAGCAGACATAATCAACATACGAATATCTGCTCATGCATATATATATATATATATATATATATATATATATATAGGTGAATACCAATATAATATCTGAAACACTACAACACTGATAAATTCACACAATAACATAGAGTAAAATGACAACAAAATGACAATGGTGAGCAGGTTAACTTAACAAAACAACAGTAAAGGAAAACGGTTCAAGATCTGACAAGATCTCCACTGACTTTAAGAAGTTTAAAATGCAGAAACTGTGGTAAGATGACGTCAACTCAGTGCTAGATCAGCCAGTTAATAGGTGGAAAGCAAACAAAGGTGCCCCGGCGGTACAGCGGCGGTAGGGTGCTTGCCGACCAGGCCTCATCTGGTTTGGGGTTCGATCCCTGACACACACACACTCCTTTACCTCCCTAAACTTTTTTTTTTTTTTTTTTTTTTTTTAGGTGGAGGGCATGAGGCTAGCAATCTCATCTTGTGAAAATAAGCACCACTGTTACATAAACTTCAAGCCTATATATTCTGGTGGGAATGTGAAGGAATAAAAAAGAAATAAAAATGTCATCGCCGCCACCCATCCCTCCTCGGCTTTCCATAAAATGATGCTGAAATACTGCTATTATGTCCAAGTAGAATGCATTTTATAATCATCTTTTCTTTTTGAATATTTTCAGTGATATTTTATTCGACCTATTTTAATTGCTTGAAATGCTTAGTTTTGCGTTGAACAACACTCATTTTCCAAACTTGTCTCACGCTGTACAGTGATCTTTTTACTCTCTGATGAATTTATATACTTGACACCAATTTCTATGATCCATTAACTAACATTCTATGAACTACTTTATACATATATATATATATTTATATATTACTCAACCTACTTTGTTATCTTTCAGTGTTTAATTATTATGTTTTTTTTATGGAGGATTTCCTCATGAGCTGACATTGGTTAGAAAACCATTGAAAACCTGCAGGGAGTACTGGACAGCTGTTTTCTGCGTCCTAGTTTGGGACACTTCATCAGTACGCACCCACCGAGGTTCAAACCCAAGGCGAGCTCGTAGAGCATTGAGCCACTGGGACCGATCCAATGATCCTCCGATGAGATCCTCCATGCAATCAAACAAGAAATCCTTATCAAATCAATACTTGAAAATTAATCTGATGCTTATTAGCAACTGGCCTATTCAGGCAGGTGGGGTTCTAGTGAGAAGCCGTAACCAGTAGGGTACAGCAGGTTGAAGATGTGGCAGTAACTCATCGAAGAAGACTTTGCGAAATGGTAGCGCTATGTTGTGAATTGTCAGAAGTTAGTATTCATAGACTGGCCATTCCATCAGGTCCCAGTGGCTTAATAGGTTACGAGCTAGCTCGCCTTGTAACCAGGAGGTCCTGGGTTCAAACCCGTTTGGTGGGTGCGTACTGACGAAGAGTCCCAAACTAGGATTAAACAGGTCTTCAGTACTCTCTGCAGGTTTTCCAGTGGTTCTCTAACCAATGTCAGGTCATGATGAAATCCTCCATGCAATTAAACAAAAAATCCCTAGAAAACCAACATTTGAATATTATGATTATTATCACAAATGTTTCTTTTTATATCAACTAACGCTATCCCTAAATTCTTTAAATTTCCTCAGGGATACAGACGACTGAAGCTGTGAGAAACAGCCTAACTTTTAAAGGAGGAAAGAGTACACACTAACCAAACTATGAGTATGAGTCTACTTTCACATGTTGTCTTGATATCGGTTTTTCACGAGAAGAAAGATTCTCCTACACCAACGTTTTTAGCGCCTTGAAAACAAGCCGTTGATTGTGAATTTGATGCGCTATAATCTTTTAAGCCGATTCACAAGATATGACCATGTGAATCTAAAGTGTTTAATTCTGTTGAGGTCACATTAAAATAAAGAGGTGTGCACGAACTTGTGGTTAGGCAATCTAATAAATGCAGACAGTACCCCACATTATCACAGATAGCGACCAATAAGGTAAGAACGAATCCACACCTGGATGAAAGGATTAAACCAGCACCCTAACTCCCTCCTCCATCGAAAAAATAATTTCAGAGCCGGACTAGGGTTGTATAACATGCGATCAACACTGAAGATCACATCCTCTTTAAGATGTCTCCCTGAGGAATACCAATCCATTATCAACAACAGTTAAATAGTATGATTCATGAAATGCGTAGTAATGAATTCTTTGTCAAAAGTCTCTTAGCTGAATGCCGTTTCCCTAATGTTATAATAATAATACAACAGGGAAAATCAGCTAATTATGGTCTTTACTCACAGGTGGTTTAGTAAACTACGAGTAAAATAACCTTTAAAAAAATGAACACATCCCAAACTGTTTACATTTTGATCTCAGAATTTTGAAATGATTCGTGGGTATCACTTTTCACTTCCTTTGTGACTGACCAATTATCTAAAAGGTGTTTTAATTTCTGTTTATCATCGTTCACGAATATACTATTATTACTATTGTTATTATTATTATTTGAATCAGACTGCTTCACTTTGATTGGCCATTTGCTACAAGGTCAACATTTACACGCCCACTCGTTTGGTTCAATATTTAATTCAAGTGTAGGCCGCGTAAAAAAATCATTTACAAATAGTTCGCGATTTAAGTAGTATGAATATTTTGGCGAAAATTTGTTCTTCACTGTCATGGAGTAGTCTAAAATTAAGGGAACATTTGATTTAGTTTGATAGATAAGATAATGATACAGTGTTCTAATGTTGGACCTTCTTTCTATCGTAGGAGTGTTGATGGTGGCCTGCTAGCATAATGCATCTTCTTTTTACCGTCCTCTTGTTGCAATAATCTTCCAATTATGTGATTGGATAGCAACATGAACTCGCTCGAATTGCGAACTGTCTTCAAACCTACTGGGTGTACAACTTTTTTTTTTTTGAATGAGGGTAAATTGTTGTAGAGACTAAGTCTTATTCCAGGTAGAATGACGTCACAAGTCACGTCAGGAGATACAGTCTGTTGGTGAATATTTTTCACCTAAAGATTCTGCACAAGGAGTCATTGCGGTGCAGCGAAATTACTCTGAGAATTCTGTATTATGCGAAGATGATGTAATTACCATAATAAGACCATTATTATTGATGTGTGCCAGTTACCGAAGCCAAGAACAGAGCAGATTTTTACTGAGGTTTAGTCACGAGTGATAGTGTCAAAATGGAGTCACAAAAACAGGTTACCATTGCATATCTACAATTTTTTGTGAATATTTACGGAGACAAAATGCCAAAAGAAAAACACCAGTTTACAATCATCAAACATCTTTTTTTACACTTGTTATACTGAAGAAAGTTGAAGTCAACTGTGAACAGTAAAACATTAGGAAGGGAACGAAAAAAACAACAAACAAAGAACAAATTAAGACACTACTATACTACTGAATAAGGTAGTAAGTAATCTGTATACATTTCACTGTTACATTGTTATTAGTGAACAGGGAACCGGCCCTTCGAAAACGAAAATGAAAACAGAATACTAATTCTGCACAAAATTAGATCAAATTGGATGTTATTCGAAATGCCTTTTTTCTCTTTTTGCCTTGGGAGTAAATTCCACTTAATCAATAAGGGAAGGGAAGGGAAGAGAAGGGATAATTCATCCCCTGCACACTAATATATGTATATATTACGATGAGGGATTATTCTTTTCATCTGCTTTGTGTATACTTAAACCTGCTGTAACAGGTTCCATATCATTCTTGAAAAATGAGAAAGACAATCATTAATTCCATAGTGGGAAAAAAACAAGGAATCAAATGGAACCGAAATGATCACAGGACAACATAGGTGACACACACACACGCACAACAATTACATTGATATAAATTACCGTTCATTGTGTATGTGGCATGATTACGTAAGCATGGGTAATTAAAAGAAAAAAAGGAATGAAAAGGAAGATATCAGTAGTCATCAGAAAATTACTGAATGGAAGAGTATTTATCTGCTACTGTATATTAGGTAGGTCAATTGAAATAGTATACAGATTTGAAATTCAAGCGTTGTTGTTGGTAGTGGTGGTGCTGTTGGTTTAATTGCGTAGATGTTGTTATCTTCCTAGGAAATATGTTCAAAGCGTTGTAATTTTATTGCGAAGAAGAATAATGAGTGAAATGATGATTTAGTTGTCTATTTGATGGATAGGCAAATTTAAGTCATTACAGATGAATGATTCGTTTACATTCTAGTTGGTTCTTATGCAATGGTCTCAAGCTTTGTCCCTTCAAATGTTAAATTGCTAATTTCATTTGTAGACACCAAGGTGACTAAGTCATGAACTAAGTTATATCTTAAATGGCTTGGATTATGTTATTCCTCGTCTTTCCATACATATCATGTTAATTTCTGTAAAGATATATGTATATATTCCATCTAACCTTCTTTGTAGGGAAGTTAAGATTATCTTGTATCAGTCAGTCTCTACTTTCTAAGTTTGTTAATTCATGTAATCTATCTATTCTGCTTTATTGTGCTCTCCTTTAATATTTTTTTGAGGTACTTAAGAAAGACTCCGTTATACAAATGTGCGGTAGCTAAACCAACTTGTTAATACTAATGTGGGTAAATACATGGACTCAAGCAAGGGGTATTCACGAATGGTATCTTGTCGGACACTGAATGTCCGCGTTATACACGAAACTCTAGCTTTTTGCATCATCAGATAGGACAAGAAGCAACTATAGAAGATGATATCTTATATGGAATGCATTATATGTGATGAGGATAGTGTTACGCCATTATAGATAATTCCTTGGCATTTACCCAACTGAGTTAAAAATCTGTTTGAGCACAACCAATTCTAAGTCTTTGAGTGATCAAAGCTCAGTGTAAAATCAAAAAGAAATTAAAGGTTCGCTTAGAAAAAAACGACACACTTCAAAAAATAATAATGACAACATACCATTACTGATAATTCTAAATCTCCAAGTCCTGCATCTCTTGTATCTACTTGGAAAGAGGTAGGCTGAGTCGCTGGTAGACCTAATGGTCGTGTTGGATGAACACCTTCACCGGTGACACGAACTCGTTGAGGTTCAAAAGCTGGTAGAACATGTTGCATAAATGGTGAACGTGCTACATGATTACCACCTTGTTTCACCTCAATTTGACATGGACCATCTGTATCCGGTACATAGGTGACATCATAAACACCTGGTTGAGTTGGTCGTGGAACAATATGAGCTGGATTCGATCTTCCCAGACGATCAACTGTTGCAACCTAAGTGTTGATCAGAGGTACAAAAAAATAAGTAAAATAAACCTTGGCTTAGAAATTTGATTATCAAGGCAAAATCAAAAGAATAAGAAATTATTTCCGGAACACACATAAAAACAGGTTTAAGCCGTTTTATAATTAAGGCTTGGAAGAATTTCAGTATATAACTCAAACCTGTTTTCCAAATAGATTTGAAGACACTACTGAGATCAGTTTTGCGATAAATGACGTTAAGGTTATTCGAATCTGACGAATTTATACTTTCTCACACCCTTTTACGAATGTGTTCTACAACACTGACACGCAAAGATCAATAAGTCCTCCACGTCCACATATTACCACACATACATGTAAATTGATAGACACCGTGAGAAATGACATTACTGTTAGGAAGCTGTCAGTGTCTACAGGACATCATAAATTTCTTTTTATTTATGAAAATGACATCAGGTGTTTCCATATTAGTTTGTTTATTAGATGTATCACACAGTGATGAAACAGTATTATTTACTGGATGACACAGTTTCAAAAAATATTTATTGCTGTTCATAATTATTTCATCAATTGTAATCACACGACTTTGAAACTTAGGATTTATAGCTTTCTTTATCTTCTCCTGTATGTCGTCGCTGGAGTAGTAGAATTTTCCAGATCTCCGACTGGACAGGTGTTGAATCACTCCTATTACACGTGTTTGCAGTTGATTCGATTAACAAAGCTTCTGTTATCAATCTCTCCCTCCACCCTGCTATTACATTAGAATTTAAAACTGCCATCCTTTCCCATCCTGTTGTATGGATGTGTGTAACTGTAATAATATTAATGACGACATGCGTGTCAATCATGTGCAAGACAACACCAACAACAAGGAATCTAAATCACCAACAGTAATTCCATACAAGGAAGGTACCTCGAAAACCTTACAAGGAATTCTTAACAAGGCAGGAATAAACGTGGTTGGCATTCAAATCCACAAATTCAATTAGAAACAAACTTTATCCCTTAGAGGATCAATCCTGTGGAGCCTTTAAAACAAAACAATTTAGTTTATCTAATACCATACCTGCAATTATTGCCAGGTCAAATACATAGGTCAAACTAGTAGAACAGGGGCAGTCAGGCTAGCTGAACATAAAAACCTAGCAAAATCTAGATTAGTTTACCGAAATAAGATAAGAAATCTAGAGAACGTGTAGTTATACACACCCAGGTGTACAGAAAGTAATATTTAAGCGTCTGTGTGAGTCTTTGTTTAACGATCAAACTATTTTGATCTCTTTTGTACAGGATAAATATACAAGCATTCCTCGTGACAGCTGATTAGACTGCCGTATGTCTTTGTCTGACATTTATGCAGTCTTAAGTGAATTCCAGAGGATAGTTATTACCTATTATCCAACAGTACATTTGTAAGGAATTCATTTACATGTTTCGAGGTAGTCGGCAGGAAGCCCTGCTTGACCTAGATTTCGTGCTAGTTGGCACTCACAAGTCAGTAAGGCGTATTTCCAACCACCTTGAAGGAACTGACAAGTACCAACTGGCACGAAACCTAGGTCAAGCAAGGCTTCCTGTCGATTGCCTTCAACTATTTAATGTCAACAATTCACAGTGCACAGTGATGGCTATCCGTCTAGGATGGTGACCACATTGCAAACAGGACTCATGTGAGAATTCAGTCTACACCAAAAATAGGAGAACTAGACACACACACTAGTTACTGACTGATGTCCAATTAAAACCAGGGATTCCATTTATTTTTAGTTTGATTTCTGATTGATATCAGCTAGAGAACCATTTAAAACTGGAGAGTACTGGACAGCTTGTAGAAGTTGAAGCTCATGAGCCAGTGGTTGTTGAATGGCCTACAAGCTTTCCTTGTAACTAGAAGGCCACATGTTCGAATCCTGGAGACAGGTGCTTGCTGATGAAGAAATCCGGACTAGGAAGAAACCGATGTCCAATACTCCCTAATTTTCAGTGTTTCTCTAACTGATTTCAATCCGTGATCAACATTATTACCTAACAGTATTTTACTAATGTATTTTTCTCTTCAATAGTTTGTAGTTAGGCATTTTTTCTTCATCAACTCTTTACCTCATAGTACGACATAGAGCTTCAGAAGCGCATTGCCATTTCACTCAGTTCTTTGACATGCTTTTCGGCTAGCTTTAAGCTTGTTCATAAGCTTTGATTTTCTCCTCCTCATGCACTCACTGTCTTCTGTTTCACTCTCGGAATCATGTTCAATTTGTTACTTCTCACTCAGATTCCACTAGGGAGAAGTTCAATTAGGCAGTAACAACAGAATACTACGTTTAGTTGAACACGAATTGGTAGAGGTTAGAATTCATGGTGTGGCCATTAGATGGGGTCCCAGTGGTTGAATGGTCCTTGAGCTTGCCTTGTAACTGGAAGGTCCTGCGTTCGAATCCTGGCAGTGGGTGCGTACTGCCAATGATTCCCAACCAACTATAGAAAATTTTGTTGCTTGTCGTTCGATATAGACCGTAATCGCCCGCTGAATGATTGGTTAACGAATATAAACTATAGATATATAAACAGAGGTTTGATTAGTGAAAAATATCCGCTGGCTTCTGTGTCTCGCCTTCTGTTGTAACATTTGGTGTTGCTACCTGCCGACGAATGGAAAGCCTATACCCTCCAGTTTCTGATGGAGACACATAAATCTTCGGGCAGGACTTCGAGAGTATTACGTAGTTGAGTGGAGTTCAAGATCCATCAGAGATGAGGCTGTTACTTGGAACGCTGCTAGGAGGTCGAACAAAGGCAGCATATGATAGTATGAGGTGAAACACAGGCAACACGAACCTGGGTCATGCAAACTGCTCCAAAAGTGCGAAGGACCATACATGGATGGTCACCGTGAGACGGGTTCATATATATATATATATATATATATATATATATATATATATATATATGGGAAATAGGACGAGTGTTTTTATAGTCAAAATAAGTAACTTGTTAGAATGTTATGATATGCGTGAAATGAAATAGAATTTTGAGATTATTTATTATCCTCCTCCGATTTGACTGACTGACTGGCGGTAATAATATCTTCCATGCATATTTCTGGTATTTCCATTGAGTCATTTCTGTTGCATATGTTGTGTTGGTGTAGACTCGATGAACCAGTCAGTTTTCAGTAACCAATCTCTCTCTCTCTCCACCTACATAGATTACTTGTTAGGATTTTAACCCTCTCCTACCCTATTGTGTGGATGTGTGTTAATGCATGTAGTGCAATTGCTGGGCTTTTTTCTAAATTACTTATCTCTCTGGGTGAACCATTCGTATCTTAGCTAAATTCTCATGTTCCGACAATCTGATTACTCCCGACCTACTAGTCTGATCTATGTAGTTGACCTCACTCATAGTCATTGCAGGATATTTTTTAAACTATATGTTTTTGTTCAATTGGGTCCATCGGGTCTTTTAGCCTACAGAGCTTGTCCTACCTGAGTGAGTTTGTAGGTTTAAATGCCACGGTGCTAATTCCTACTTTATTAAGAATCCTACTACATAGGTTCTCAGATTTCCCTTCCTTATATGGTATAACAGTAGATGACTTATATTCTCTCTTATTTATGTTATCACTACTAGTTTCACAATTATTTTTATTTTGTTTTTGGCCTTTTTCAATCTTTCTAATGAATTTTATAGGAAAGTTAGTTATTTAACATCAACGTCTCTCTATCTGTTTTATTTCATCATTTAGGTCTTTCTTTGTACTGCTTAGTGCTACTGCGTGTACATTGCCTACTGCCTACGCATTCATATAATACACACAATAGGATTTGTTCTTGTGCTTATCGATTACACCTACAACATACTAGTTAGTGTGGTGTTAGTTCCCTTTTAAAGGAATGTGAGTGAACATACCACCATTCGCCTAATTTTTTGTTAGTTTACAAAATGGTTATGTAACATACTTTGTTTTGTAATTTATCCTGAATTTTTTTTATCATGGATGAATATTTTTTTGTAGGCATTTTTAACAAGTAAATTTTGAATATTAGTGAAAAGAAGGATGTTTTAAATGTCGTGTAAAAATATCCAAAAGATCAATTCACCATGGGTAAAACACCGAAGTATTTTATAGACTGAGACACTAAGTGAAGCCAAACTGTTTGTTGTGATATTGGCTTCCACAAGGAGTGATAAGGGCGTTGAGAAATGCAAGAATAACGATTGTTTCTAAGACTTTCTGCAGTTTATTTCCCAACTTTTATATTATATTGATTGGAGGATTTCATCATGAGCTGACATCAGTTAGAGAACCATTCGAAAACCAACTGGGAGTACTGCCAGACAGTTGTTCCCTCTGTCCCAGCTTCGGACTCTTCATTAGCACGCAGCCACCACAAGAGGTTCGAATCCGGGACCTTCTGGATACAAGATGAGCTAGCTCGTAGACCATTAAGCCACTGGAAACCTGTCCAAAGAACAGTCCATGAATTCAAACTTGTGCTGATTAACTGGCATAGCGCAACCACTTCACAGTGTCTTCCTTTATGAGTTACTGCCTATTCATATAGGTAGTTACCTGGGATTCTAGTGAGAAGCCATAACCAGTAGGGTGTAGCAGGTCGAAGATGTGGACAGTTAATCATTGAAGACACTGCTAACTGGTCACGCTATGTCATGAATTGGCAGAAGTTGGAATTCACGGAGTGGCTACCAGATTGGGTCCCAGTGGCTTAATGGTCTACGAACTAGCTTGCCTTGTGAACAGAAGGTCCTGGGTTCGAACTATCGTGGTGAGTGCACACCGCTGAAGAGTCCCAAACTAGGACGGAGGAAACAGCTGTCTATCAGTTATCTTTGCATGTTTTCCAATGGTTCTCTAACTGTTGTCAGCTCATGATTAAATCCTTCATCCAATCAAACAAAATCCCAACGAAACCAATACTTGAAAATATTATATTATATAATTACTCATTTCTTGAGTTGTGAATAGCACATAGGGCCTAAAAAGTACGTCACCACCTCATTCATTTCTCTGAGATCCTTTTCAGCTGGATCTATACCTATTCTCAACATATTATCGCCCTTTCACACGATCTCTAACATATCACACTTGGATTCATACCCAACTCGTCTCTTTCCATTGAAGTTCCTCTAAGGGTCCAAGAATGTGATTTCACTCAACCATCTGCTCGAAATATGTCCATTCCATCTCTATACCATTCTACACATTTGTTGGTCAGTAGGTCATTGATCGGTACATTGCCAAAACTGCTTGTCTCTTATCCCTTCATGTCGACCATGTGGTCATTATTACTGAGCTAGAGCAGTTGTTACAGTAGTATGCTGGAAAACCTATTGGAAATGCTTTGATGATGTCACACCGAATTACTGAGTAATATAGAAGCAGTGATTTGATATTTGTGTTGAAAATTCAGATCTTTTTGCTTGCACCAACTTTTGGTTTCTTTCCCGATCAGATTATAGCTGACTGATTTTGACATCCACACCCATGCTACCTTCTGCAGTTGAAACGATGTTGCATAATTCAGGGACCTGAAAAAAATAGTTCCTTTAGAATCCTCTCGTTGAGTGTGATTGTTGCTTGTCGCTTGTTTTTGGTTAGGTATTTTAATCGTCTCTATCTTCTCTTTGTTCACCAAAAGTCCTGTCTTCATTTCGGCTTGTACTAACTTGTTGATCCAATGTGAATTCACCAATATCTCTGCAATAAGCTTTTAGTGTTTCTATATTCTTCTCTGAATAGGGTGGTTTATGATTGCTAAGCATTCCTTGTCTTTATGAACAATATTTTCAGCAATAACTTCAATAAATTAAATATTCCCATAGTAAAATTTAGAATAGACAAAAACAATTCGTAGCTCAATTTTGTCACATTTAATTAATAGTGGTCATATAGTGGAGAAAAACGAAAGCTTTCAAAGTAATTCATCATATCCCACCGAATCTTTCCAATAGACTCCGTATTCGCCTACTGCACACACACACACACACAGCTGAGGCAGGCGATAGGCATTCGAACAACCATTATCCCTCACTTGTTGGCCTATTAAGACATAACCAACTAATGACTTCTACACCGCCCCTTACCTATATCTTCAGCCTCTCTCTTATCATCCCTTAATCTTATCACATCTTCATTACAAAAGTGTTTCATTTCCTTCCCTTACAATCTAGCATTACTTAATCGGTTCATTTGTTTTTACTAGCCTTTATCGACTACTTCCACCTGAACAATTGTTTGTTTAATCATGCTGTTTTTTTCATCATTCGTGATATCATAGATTGCCTTACTTTTTAATCCTTATTATTGATGAAACCACGACCGATGGTGCTACCTCGACTGAAAGATGAAGTACCTAGACTGGCCACTTCAAATTGTATTTACCAATTCAACTGCACTTGTGGAGCGATTTATATTGGCCGTCGCTCTAGGAACTTGATTTTTCGTGTCAGCTGGAGAACATCTCCCAGTATGGCTAAGTAAAGGTGTAGTTAAAACCATTAACAGATCGATATTGGACCATCTGGTGCAAACCGGCCACAAAGCCAGCCAGCCAGCGTGGAAGAATCCTTCTCTATCATCATCTACCGGGTGCCTAAATAATTACCAACATCATCGAAGCACCGCATACTTCAAACAGCAGGGGTTATTGCAATTCGCCTCAAGAAACCAGTACTCTGTGTTCAAAAGAAGCAAGTCCAGTTAGCCACTACTACTGCTCTAATTGGCCTTCAGTAGAAACTATGAACTCATGAATTTGTAATATTATCTTTCCTAATTTTTCTGCGATTCAGGTTACTCCTATGTTGATACTATTGAACTGTAATCTATTGATATTGGTATTGATTCGATGTTATTTAAACAACATCAATGTTGTTCATAACACTAATTCATTCATTCATTCATTCACTATAATGTGTATACATAACTATAGAGCCTGATGATGAAGGGGTTATCGAAGAGAGTACTCTTTGTTCAGTATCCATTATTTTGAAAACCATTATTATCACTATCATTACTACTATTATGACTAATTGCACAATTTATGTTCACCATCTTATTATCTTATAGATAAAATACCATGACTGATTTATATATGAATTTTTATTTGTAAACTTATATATATTAGAGTTAAGCCTGATGAGATCTAAATGAAGCCACAATATTGTTCGCTTAAGTGTGTTGTCCTAAATAACTTCAATGTGATATAAGTCTTACAAATTCTCTATGGGTGAAATATTGTGACTAGTTGTTCTCATAGATTTCCCTATGAAAGCATTCAGTTATGTAGTCATGGATTCTCTCATCATGAGGAAATCTGCTCGACGTATCAGTCACAATTAGGGTCACCAAGAAAGTCAAATATTTCATTAAATCAAGAATTCCTTATAAATGACTTCAAAATGAGGTTGGAGCTATCAAAAAATTGTTTAGAAGGACAACAAAAGCTTCGAAATTAAGCCAGGTGTGGCAATGGGGTCACCACTAGGACCCATTCTAGCTGACATTTCCCTGAGAAACTAGAAAATGGACCTTTGAAAGATGTAACTGATGAATTTGAATTCTATTGTTGAGTACATAGATGATAAAGTTTTGATTATAAAAAATAAGAAGGAAGCAAAGAACATTCTGGATAAATTTAACGAGGTTCATCCTGCAATAAATTTTACTATTGAGAAAGAGAAAAGACTCTAGTATTTTATTTTTAGATGTCCTTATGACCAGAAAAGAGGATGGAACAATAAGAAGAAGTGTATTCAGAAAACCTGCATCAAATAACTGGTCAGTAGACTCATTTTTGCAGCTTCGTGCCCTTGAAATACAAACGCAATCTGATAAAGTGCTTGGTCCCCCACAGAGCAAGAGCAATCGTCTTGGATGAATGTCCTCATGAGAAACTTAATAATATTAAACGGTTGCTGAGTGAAAACGATTATTCAGAAAAGTTTATTAATAAAAATATGAATAAAAAATCAAAGCAGACCAAGGTACTAATAGTTCCTGAAAAGGCCTTATTCTTACAAATTCAATACATCACAGATAACATCAGCGAGATACTAAAATAACGGTAAAAGAGCATTCCTGCTGCTGAATTGCACTGTGTCTTCGAAACCACCCGTATTTTGTGTTCAGGAGTAAAATACAAACTGGTTAATTTTGCCTCTTCCATGTGTATCTACCACTTTAACTGCTCCTATCCAGCCAGTTACATAGGCCGTACAATTAGGCGTGTTTCTCGTTGGATTTCTGAACATCACCCTACATAACTCTGTTCTATCTCACTCATCTTGTGGATACAGAACACAAGACTGATGTCAACGAGGTGGCTTCCAAAGTCATTTATCGCATACCATTAAATCTTAACTTTGCCTTAAGAGTTCGACTTCTAAATATTGCTGAGGCTGGCCGTTGGAATCCACATTAATAAGCCTGCTTTATGTGTCCAATAGAAGACAGCGTCCTTACCTTGGCCATCTAGGTATCAATGATCCTAAATTTTTGTAGAAATTTCCTTAATTTTAGTTCATATTCTATTTGCTACTATCTCTTTATTATTACTATTATGATTTAAGCATCTTTAATGAACTGTAATTCCACTAATCTTACTTTACAAATTGATATTATTTAAAAAACACTAATATTGTTATTGACTACTAATCTAGAATATTCCATGTGTGTAAACATGCATATATAATTGTAGAGCCAGAAGAGGAAATTGTCGAAAAGGAAATTCTTTGCTGGCTCAGTTATTTTGTATTTTATGAAATTATTTCTGTTACTCCAAAGAAAATTTCTTAGGAGTGTCCCACATCTCTGTATGCGACTTAGATTCTTCTTGCCACCAAACAATTCATACACTTGTGTTGTGTTCTCAATCTTGTCACAGTTAACCATACTTTCCAACTTCTCCGGTTCAGCTGACTTTCTAAAATCACTTATTATACTGTTCAGATACTCCATTAGCCCTACAAGGTCAATGAGGGTTGCCTGAAAATCGATCACTGCATGTCACAAAGTGTTATTGGGAATAGTATATTTGAAATCACAACTTACTTGTATCGGTGCATCTCCAGCTTGTGAAGCATCTACAGTAAAGTGTGCTGGTTGTTGAGCTCGTGCACCTCTTGGCTCCAAACCTGGACCATAACATCGTACACGAGTTGGATCAACAACATCACGAATAGGTACTTGGAATGGACTACCTGTTATTGACAAAAAATAAGTATACCGAGAAAATCAATCCAGGCATTAAAAAAAAAGGGATATAAGTGTATGTCTGATTTCAGCAGGTGCCAAACATATGCATTCACATAACCCGTAATATAGCTTAACAAATTATGAGCAATACTAACCTAATGCACTAACGAAAACTGCTTTAATCCTGAATCAAAATATCGATTCCCACGACCACCGCCACCACGATTACCACCACAGTGACAACATCAAAATACCACCGCCAAACCAAACAAAAGAAAATAAGTCCAGTCGCTGATGACAAAAGAGCTTTTACCGACTAGAACAACAGTCAATACAGTTTAAGGCGATGATGAATATAGGCACAGTCTTAGAGTGAAGCTTGATATAAGTATAAAACTTGGGAACTGTGCTGGTAGAGTATAAGTCCATTATGGATAAGATTTTATTTTGATAAATCACACAGTGCTGTTACACAGTAATATTAGCTGATGACCACACGTTTCGAACACAAACTGTTGCCACTCATAATCATATCAAGTCACTGACTCACACAACTTTTTCCTTCATTTATATATATGAGTGGAATTGATGATTAGACATTTGAATAAGAATCTTATCCTTAACATTATTACTGACTGAATTCTGTTGGTTAAGCTTTCATAATAAGATCACCAAGCTTGAACTACTTGGTATCACGCTGTATACTTTAAATTCTAAATCGATAGTTAATGGGAATCGACAGGAAGGCTTGCTATTGGGAGTTGTGTTTATTGGCACCTGTGAGTAGGGGTTATCTAAAATGAAGAAGAAGATGATGATGAAATCCTCCTCAGTGAGTTGATCCTGCATAATCCAATCTCCAATCACTGAACTATTGTAGACATCGATTCCTTAGAAATTGCAGTCAGTAATCCCGCAATCGAGGCTTCCTACCGATTGCCTCTAATCAAAACTTGTCAGTCATTGAGTGAGAGACAAATTTTTAACTAGTTAATGAAAAAAAAACACAGCGACAGAGAGATGAGGTGTCCAGGTGAATATATGAACACAGGTAGGTGTGCACTGCTGAAGAGTCCCAAACTAGGACAAAACAGCTGTCCACTATTCCCTCTGGTGGTTTTCCAATGGTTCTCTAACCAATGTCAGCTCATGATGAAATCCTGTAACCAACCAACTGAATCCCTACAAACCAATACTTGAATATCAATGAAATGCTCACTGGTGACTGGCGCGGGAACTCGTGACCAGTAGGTTGCAGCAGGTCAGGTGTGAGGATAAATACTCGCCGGAGATATTGGCTAGCGGTTGCGCTGTGTCGTGAATTGGCAGAAGTTAGAATTCATGGAATGGCCATTGAATCGGGTCCCAGCGGCTTAATGGTTTACGAGCTAGCTCGCTGGGCTTGCAACCAGAAGGTCCTGGGTCCGAACATCCTGCGGTGGATTTGTACTTCTGAAGAGTCCGAAACTAGGACGGAGGAAACAGCTGTTCCGGTACTCCTGCAGATTTTCCAATGGTTCTCTAACTAATGTCAGCTCACGATGAAATCCTGTAACCAGACCGAAGTATTATTAACAGTGGAGTGGGTATTTCGAAAACGCGTAGTACTTCAGTTGCAGAGCGCTAGCTATACATCCACGAGATCTGGTCTTCGCTACAGGCAGACACATTTCCCAAGCCTTGCCTATATAACTAACCAATATTAAGTCCAGAAAACAAGGAAGCTCAACGACAAAGCTAGCAATCTCATCCTGTAGGAAAAAACAACAGTATCATCGTTACTGAAACTACACTCTTTAAAGCCCAATGTTCCATCAGGAAGGCAGGGAAAGTTATTTTGAGAAATCTATTTTCTTTCCTTTTCTTTCAACCTGATTCAACTAGTATATAATGTTAGGCTTTTCCTAAAGCCTGCTAACCAGAAAAAAGATCTCCTGGGTTGTCATGGTGAAGAAGAAGCATCCGTAAACTAGATCTATTTTTTGTTTGATTTCCCCCAATAAACTGATTCTGCTATAAAAAGCAACCTTCATGGTGGCTTTCAGTAGATAAGATGTGAATAACACTCGCATTGATAAAATAAACAAAGAAGTTGCAATCTGAATTTTAGTGAAAAGAAACAAATGATTATAATAATAATGATATTGGTGTAGTCGATTTCTCTGAACTAGATAGTTTTTATTTACAAAGCTTTCACCGTCTATCCAGGCAACGTCTTGAGTGCTGACTTCTAAGTAAAATGAGCTTTGCAAATTCTCCATGGCTGTAATAGCTACTAATACCACCCCTGACCACCTTGAACGTGATTGGTTACCTCCAGAGATTTTCTTTTCCTACTAAATTTAATAAAATATACACTTTCCTTTTTATTTGACCAAACGTTTTATGAGTGGGAAGACTACCTATCATTCACTAGGGATTCAGGTATATCTATCTGGCTGATGAGTCCTAATGAAGACGAAATGCACGTCTTGGCTACCACTGCTACCACCGTCATAAAATGGCTAGTGGTTTGATCAACCGGAATAGTTTTAACTGGCCACTGATCTGTACAGAGAGTAAAGTCATTCCAAGACGCGAATGATTCAATCGTGTAAAGTTGGAAGAAGATGAAAGAATACGAATAAAAGTACAATACATTACTTGAAAAAAAATTGTTTATAGACTTTTGTACGATAAAGAATTTAACTGCCAAACAATACAATTTCTTTCTTAAACGTCCTTGTGTTTTGAAGTTAAAGTCGATAATCATTCACAGTAATTATCGATTCCCAGGATCTTTAGAGGTAATAGGAACTTAGGGTTAAGTTCCTTAACGCAAGATATCCAATCAGTGAATAATTTTTAAAGAATATTTCCAGAACCTAAATTCTCACTCACCTGGAATATTAACATCATTGAACTTAACAAAGACATCATAGTTTCCTGCACGAGTTGGTAAATAGTCCACTGTGCATGTTCCATCTTTATTATCTTGACATTGGATTTGTGCATCAGCTGGACCTTCTAAAGCCAATCCGAGTGCACCTTGACCAGCTCCATCAAGATCAACTGTGAATCTTTGCATTTCATGTGTGAATCCACCTTCTAAACCAGGTCCATAGGCTCTAACTCTGGTTGGATCACAACCAGGTGCTACATTAACAGGGAAAGCACTACCCGGAACTGGTGCACCATCATAAGTCACCTCAACATGATGTAAACCTGTTTTAAAAGAAAAAGAAGATACAACAATACGAAATTATTTTTTGCATGCATAATGCAAAACAGATTTTCAATCATTTGTTTGTAGGTTACAGAATTTCATCATGAGCTGACATTAGTTAGAGAACAATTGGAAAACCTGCAAGGAGTACCAGTTTGGTACTCTTCGGCAGCACGCACCCACTGGGGTTCTAACCCGAGACGTTCTGGTTACAAGGCGAGCCAGCTCGTAGACCATTAAGCCACTGGGACCCGATCATATGGCTACTCCATGAATTCTAACTTCTGCTAATTCACGAGGTGGCGCAACCACTAGCCAACGCCATTCATGGCGAGTATTTTTCCTCGCACCCGACCTGCTGCACCCTACTGGTCACAATTTCCCACTAGATTAGGTTAATTTGTAGGTTAATTTCACATCTCCCGTTGATCTATTTTGTTGAACAGAAGTGTTCAGCTTGTGTTGATATAGCCTGCTCCTACCTAATGTAAGGCTAGAAGACGAAAGACTTCGTGAGTTGGTGGCACAGCTTTAGAATGCTTGCCAACCTCGCCAATGCTCGCCAACTTGTTAGAATGTTGTGATGTGCTTGAATTTAAACAGAATTTTGAGATTATTTATTATCCTCCTCTGGTTTGACTGACTGACTGGTGGTAATAATATCTTCCATGCATATCTCTGGTATTTGTATTGAGTCATTTCTGTTGGATGTTTTGGGTGTAGACTCAAAGAACCAGTCGGGATTCAGTAATCAATCTCTCTCTATCCCCGTACATAGATTACTTCTTAGAATCTTAACCCTCTCCTACCTATTGTGTGGTTTTGTGTTAATGCGTGAAGTGCACTTGCTCAGCGTTTTTCTAAATTACTCATCTTCTCTGGGTGAACCATTCTTACTTTAGCTAAATTCTTATGTTATGATAATCTGATTACACCCGATCTACTAGTTTGACCCATAAAGTTGACCTCACAGTCATTTCAGGGTATTCTCTAAATTATATTACTTTGTTTAATTGGGTCCACTGGGTCTTTCAGCCTACAGAGCTTATCTCTGAGTGACTTTGTAGGTTTAAATTCCTGCTTTATTAAGAATCCTACTACTTAGGGTCTCAGATGTCTCCTCCTTACGTGGTATGACAGTAGATGACTTATATTCTTATTTCCCATCTGATTGTAATTGATCAATAGCACTCGTATTATTATTCCTGAATGTACATGATCTTATATTGATGTTTATTCAAATGTCTAATCATCAATTCCACTCATGTATATAAGAAAAAATTGTGTGAGTCAGTGACTTGATATGATTATGAGTGTCAACAGTTTGTGTTCGAAACGTGTGGCCATCTGTTAATATTACTTGCTGTATAACACCACTGTGTGTGATTAATCAAAATAAAATCTTATCTAAAATGCAGTTATACTCTACCAGCACAGTTCCCAAGTTTTATACTATCTCCATGATATTTGATGTTCTATGCCAATCAAAATCTCTTTATATATCAGTAGCAAACGCAATACTACTACTACTACTACTACTACTACTACTACTACTACTACTACTACTACTACTACTACTACTACTACTACTGTGATGAGAGCAGGCTGCTAGCCGATTGGTTGGCACTAATCTACGTTAATGTCTAGGTCACTAATATGGGCCGTGAGAAAATATGAACAAGGCTGTTTCAACAACCAATCACAGCAAACTTAAATGTGGACAAATATGATTCGCAGATAGATGGCTCTACTTTCCGAGAAATATCGAAAACAACCAATCATAAGACTGTGTTTGTCTGCTTAACTTCCGAGAAACAACCAATCAGAAGACTGCCTTTTTCTGCTTGCATAAGCCTTATTAATGCACATAAAATATATATAAATACGTGTTGATTTTCGTAATAAAACGATCTGTTGCCAGCCCTTGTCTTTTTTTTTTTTTTTTGGTGTCGCTGCCTCCAAAAAGATGAAGATCCCGTGGCCAGCTGCGTTTGAAGAAGGAGACATACGGAGCTTCTTACGTGACTTCGAGGCCGTTGCTGAGCTGGTGGGTGTCAAGGAGCAGGCGGCGAAGGCAGTTGTCCTGGGGACGCTGTTGAGAGGCCGAGCGAAGGCTGCATATGACAGCGTAGACAGGTCAAATGGCACAGCGTCTTGGAAGAAATTGGTTGAACGACTAGTGTCCGAGTTTGACAGCGAAACAGACAGACAGCTAGCAATGCAGCAGTTCCGGTCAATGAAGCTTGGACCTGATGGAGACCCGCTAGTGTTGGCGGTGAAACTGACTAATCTACTTCGACGCGCGCTTCCCACTTTAGATGAAGAATCAGAAGCGCAGTTACTGTCTTCCCAATTCATCGAGAGTGTCCCAGACCACATTTCTCAGCGATTACAACTGGTTAACGCAACGCAGCCGATGGATATTAGTGAGCTGGCGAAGGTGACCAGACAGCTGCTGAGCACAACGGTAGCCGCTATAGACCAACCAAAACCAAACGAATATGAGCAGAAAATTGAAGCATTGCAGCGGGAAGTGGCGGCGTTAAAGTTGGCTGATAGAAAAGACCGGTGTTTTGAATGCGGTAAGCCGGGACACTGGAGAAGATACTGCCCAGAAAGGCGAAAAAGAAAAAATTTCAGACGGTATAATGCTTGTTCTTTCTTTCGTATGAACCTAGATTTAGTGGGGGCTATTGAGAAAGGGGCTCTGTATTCGAAGTTGCGAGTGAATGATCGAGAAGTAGTATGTTTGATAGATACAGGGGCGGCCGTGTCGTTAATAGATAAGAATTTATGTAAGAGTGTTAGTCCGTGTTCATTGACAGTACAAACAGTAGGCGGGTATGTGTTGCGTATCACGGGTAGATCGAACTGTACGGTCGTTGTTGGTGGCTGCGAGGTGACGTTTCCTTTCATTGTTGTACCCGAACTACAGCGAACGATATTAGGAGCGGATTTTCTGCGTGAGATTGGTGCAATAATCGACACGCAAGCGAACGTGGTGATCACGAAATACGGGCATATCAACATGTATGAGACCAGCGAGATAGCAGCGATTAAGCTGTCGACGGTACACAATGTGACAGAGTTAATTAATAAATACGATCATCTGTTCACTGGAGATGGCGACCCATACGGTTATTGCGATAAGGTGAATCATGAAATTCCGTTAAGTGATCCGAAAGTAAGGTCATTTTTAACGCGAAGAGTTCCATGTCATCTGGAAGGCGAAGTGGAGCGACAAGTGCAAGAGATGTTAAAAGATGATATTATTGAGGAAGCTGATAGCCCGTACAACTCTCCAGTGCTGTTAGTAAAAAAAGCGAATGGGAAGTATAGATTCTGTGTTGATTTTCGACAGTTAAACAGTATGACAGAGTTAAGACCGTGTGCCATGCCAACAGTGGTAGAAACTTTAGATCGCCTACAAGGTGCGAATGTGTTTTCGGTTCTCGATCTTCGCTCAGGATACTGGCAGATACCGATAAAACAAGGTGATAGAGATAAGACGGCTTTCATCGTGGGTCAGACACAATATCGATTTAAACGCATGCCGTTTGGACTAGCAGGTGCACCGTTTACGTTCAGACGACTGATGAAGCTATTACTTAGGAACTTGAAAAACGTGGAGGTTTATGGTGATGATCTCGTCATATACAGTCAAAACGAAAACGATCACGTCAACCATGTAGAAGCCGTGCTGCGACGCATCGAAGAGTTTGGACTACGCGTCAACAAAACCAAGTCTCAGATAGCCAAAAAGAATGTTACTCTGTTGGGACATAAAGTGGGAAATGGTGAGATTAAACCACTGCCGGAGAAAATTTTGACGATTAAAACGATTCCAGCCCCGAATTCAAAGAGAAAACTGAGACAATTCTTGGGTAGAGCAGCGTTTTATAGTCGCTTCGTGAAGAACTTCAATGAGATAGCAGCCCCTCTATACAGGCTACTAGGTGAGCCAAAGTTTGTTTGGTCGGAAGAATCGCAGAGGACATTCGACAGAATTAAACAGCTGCTCGACCACCAACAAATGACGCTAAAACTACCTGTGCCAGGAAGACAGTTCACAGTGTGCACAGATGCCAGTGACTACGCTATAGGTGCGGTCCTAAGACAGGACGAGGGAATCGTTGAGTATGCCAGTAGGGTTTTGACCCTCACAGAGAGAAAGTATTCAACGATAGAGAAAGAATGTTTAGCAATGGTATGGGCAGTCGACAAATGGAGACCTTATTTACTCGGCCGGCGGTTCCACATCGAAACTGATCATAAGCCGCTACAATTTTTGAAGACAGCGAGAGACCCACGGGGGAAGTTGTCACGGTGGATGTTGCGTCTTCAGGAGTACGATTTTACGATCTCACACGTTCCTGGAAGTGAAAATGTCTTGGCAGATTTGTTATCGAGACCAGAAGATGAGTCTGAGTTGCCCGAGGTCGCTTACGGAGTGCATGCAGTAGAACAAGACCCACTAAGACTTGCACGTAGGCAGAGGTTGGACGATACGCTGAATACAGTAATACAGGTGATCACCAACGGAATAGAAGTGGATCAAACTACGGCGAGTAAGGAGCTAACCACACTACTCAGACAGAGGGATCGACTCAGAGTGAATGCCTACGGGACTCTGACCTGGCGAGAGAACGACGGAAGCTGGCTGGCTGTCATACCTCAATCGTCGCGCCACGACATGATAGAAGAATGTCACCAGCTAGCGCATACAGGCGTGGCCAGAACGACCGACCTCCTAAGACAAAGTATGTACTGGCCAGGTATGAGAGAAGACGTAGCAAGATACGTACTTGGATGTCCACGGTGCCAGCTGATGAAAGGTGACCGGTATATACGACCACCACTTCAGTCGATTCCAGTTACCGCGATAGGTGACTTGTGGTCCGTAGATGTCATGGGTCCATTTCCTCAGACATCCAATGGTAATCAGTACCTCTTGGTGATGACGGAACACGCGACACGATGGGTAGACGCCGTAGCAATC